CCCACCGGCGAAAGTTGGCCAAAATGAGCAGAGAGCCGCCCTCAATAAGCTGGGAGGGAGCTCGGAGCCAAGCTAATGTATTTATGTATTCGCGAAAAATGATAATTAAGTCTACTTGTCGTCTATCTGGAAAATAAAATCTAAACAAGATATTTTTCATGCTCAAAGTAAAACTTTTCCGCTACAACCAAAACGTGCGCGCCCCCGAAAGCAGGGCCCAAAGTATGGCAGGGGCGGGGCCAGGGCTGGCTGTGTCGCCAGGCTTCCAAGTATCTGGCTGAGATATTAATATTTAAAATTCAGTAGCAACTTTTGGCACGTTATTGTTCGACTCCGAAGCATTTTCGCCAAGAGATTGTTATCAAAACAATTTCTGTTCGCCGCTCTAGCTCTAAACTCTAAACTCTTAACTGCAGATGCAGATACCGATCCGAAAATAAAATAAAAGATTTTGTTTGCCCTCGAATGGGGCTGGAGATTTTTTCGGTTAAATTCAGTAGCAGTTGCTTGACCCGGCGACTGAACTCAAATTTATTTTTTTTTTCCCCTGGCAAATTGCACTGCAGTCTGCAGGCTGATTGTCTTCAGCCAAAGGCAATAATCAACGACAGGCTGCCGGGCCACTGCAACTCCGACTGCAACGAGAGCAAATAAAATAAAGTCATGTTGCGGCCGCAATAGCGAGTTTTGTTCAATTTGTTAGCCAAACAAAGTAGACATTAATTGAACCCGGAATCTGTGGCCCACAACTAAATGAAGTAATAAATGCTGCATTTTTTGTGAGAAGATATTCGGTTCGCTGCTCCGAAGTGCCTCTAACTGCGTTTTGCGTTCTGCTTGTGCCGCTCACGTAGCAAGTGCCATAATTTGCAACACGTTCCCGGCCGGCCATCATCATCATCTTCTCGGCCATCAACCGATGGCATTTTCCAGCGGCAACATGCAAAGGAGGCTGGTCGAGGGGCCGAGCAATCAACACCTGTCCGCAGTGCAGGTAACCCTTCCACGAGGCGAGTTTCGAACGCATAATTTAAGCCCGGCTCTATTACACGTTGATAATCCGTGACGATCGATTGCCCAGTGATATCCACGGAGAGGCAATTAAGTAATGTGGCTGCCAGGCCGGCAACCAGCTATCCAGCATCGAAGAATCACAGCACCAGTGCGGGAAATTCAAATTACATTTATTACGATCTGCTTTAATCTGGTTATTTAGTTCACTTATCGAAATCTGGCGCGGAGCAGTCGGGTAAATTTGTTAAAAAGATATTGGCATTTATGTTGTTATTAGGTTTTATTAATGGTTGCGGTTGCGGCCGGCCAGTCCCAGCTTTTGATAAGCCCTGACACCGCACATCCAGAATCCAGCCAGGGTCATTTTCACGTCGCGCAATCCCAGAGTCCCAGAATCGCAGAATTCCATTTCCAGCTAACAGACCCCCAACCATAGTGGCTGCAATCAGAGATGGTGGTGATCTCGTGCTATTAGGAGATGCATTTGGTCTACAAATTTCTCTGAAAAGTATATTGATATTTAAACTAAAAATATTTTTGATCTTAGTATAACTTTATATATAAAAGAAAAGACAAACAATATTATTTAAAATTATTTAGGTTACTTAATAATTATTAGCATACATTTTAGTAGCTTTTACTTTATAAATTTAAAAGTTAAAAGTTTTATTTTTCGTAGAAATCATATCTGTCCTAATCAGAGTTAGTCAGTTAACCCTTTTTATTCGTGTCACGACACTTGGCCATATCCGATCGCGGCTTTTGGTGCATATCGCTGCGCAGATTTCCTTGGTTCTTGGCGTTGCAGCTTTCCTACATTTTCCTTCGGTCTCACACAGCGCGCACAATTGACGCGTGTTGGTGATTGCCATTGCTGGTACCTTTCCATTTAATGGTGTCCATATGATTCACGGCCCTCTGCTCCGGACTCGGACCGAAACTCCCGACTCCGACTCCGTTGCGAGCTCAGTGCACAGTGCACTCATCGGAGCCAGCCAGCCAGCGAGGGCAACGAAAAATTCGTTAAATACAATTGGATTTTTCAGCTTCAGCTTTTCTGCTGCACTGACGACGTGGCCGGGGACGTTGATGATGTGCCTCTGCCGCCACCTCCTCGTGGATCTCCCTGTGTGCCGGGAATCGTGCAATCGCTGGGCACAGGCACAGGCACAGGCTTTGGCACTGGGACTTGCACTGGGACTGCGACTTAGACTGGCACTCCCCCGCGGTGTGCCCTCCACCCGGCTGCCCTCTCCCTGCCCCTTACAAAAACAATTGCAATTTTCAACTAATGCTTATTGCGGGAAATCAGTTTAGGAAAAGCCAAAGGAGTCTGCCTCGCCGAATATGTGTGTGCACTTGAAAGAAATGTGTCGAGCTCTGGTGAGCTACGAAAAACTGGGGAAAGAGAATTTATTAATGACTTGAAATCTTTTCAAAGGCTTTTCAAATCACTTTCCATTTTTAAGTCTTCTCTTTTTAATTTTAATTTCAAATTGGTACTTTTTGAAGGTTATTTAAAAAAATAATGAATACATTTTCAAGTGTTCTGGAATCGCTGTCGGAGGCAGGAGTCGGATTAGGAGTCGGGGCTGGAGCTGATGCTGCAGCTGGGGATGGGGAAGGAGTTCGAAGTCATAGACAGAGCAGAGTCACCGTCACAGTCACCTGGGCTGAACTCTGGGCGAACTCGCTGGCTGCTCGCGGAGCAGAGCAGAGCAGCGCACTGTGAAAAGGTGAGTCCAGTCCACTAACAGTCGCCCCTTTGATGAAAACTGTAAATTTACGAACTTTACTTTAATCACCGAACATGAATCGCGCACAGCATGGAGCTGGCGAGGCCCGATTCTGATACCAATCCTGTATCCCCCCCGAATCCCCAGCTCTCTCGGAGGCTTCATAATCATCATCTTCATCGTCTTGGTCTTCTGCCGCCGAGATGTTGTGCTGTTTCTGGTTACTTTGCTTTTGGTATTGGCTTGGGTCTTGCCTTTGGCTTGGGTTTTGAGTGTCGAAATCTCTCGACGGGCTGTGTGTAAGTTATTTAACTTTTGTTGCCTTTTGAAATTTAATAATTTATTTTGTAGATTAATTGGGTTTAATTAAGTGGTAACGATGTGAAATTATGGATTTGTGCATTAGGTTTTCGCTTGGGGGAAACGGGCTTTAAGTTTGTTTTGAATAGCTTAAAATCTTTAAAGTACCTATTAAATATCCTTTCAAGGATGTACCCCTGATCGCCTCAAAAAAATCATCCCACCATCAACAAGCCTGTCCATAAACTAAGTTGAACAACTTTAGCTGTTTGCATGTTTCAGCTGGCCGAGTGAAAATATTTCTTAGCATTGCGACGCATGTTCAGAGTTTTGTTTGCTGTCGTTGTTTTCATGTTTTGATTTGCAACACGCCGGGATCCCTTTGTCCTCCGGTCAGCAGGAGTAGCCAGCCAAGGGAGTCCGAGTGCCAGAGTGACGGAGTGGCGGAGGGAGCGGCAGCAGGCGATAACAGGGAGCAGGAAGGCGCTCATTGACTTTGCCCTCGAAGTTGTCATTTGGTGCGTTGGCCGTTGCTTCCGATAACCCAGAGCAGACGAAGAGTCCCAGACATTACACAGGAAGAAAATATTATATTGAATAAATAATTTTTACAATATTTTTGGTACTACTGATATCAGCTAGAATGGGCTTATGGGAAACTATTCAATAATACTTGTGGAGGTATTGGGTAAGACCTGTCGAAATATTATAGAATATAAATTTATAGGTTTTCGATTTTTAATATCCATATTACATCCTATTCCTTAGGCCTTGCCCCCAATAAATAAGCATTTTTAAACTATAAACATTACTGGTATCTAGACAATAGTATCCTGATATTAGTTGTAGTTTTCTGCTATATATTTTCCCATTTTCATTTTATACAATCTGTCAGATTGTTTCGGGTGTAGGTCCCCATGACCATGGATGTGGGACTCTTCCGACTCTCCAAGCCATTCCACGTCGCAGCATGTTGTCAGTGTTTATGCGCTGCTCTGTCCATGCCAGGCTTTTCGGGCATACTTCTGTTCATTCTGCATTCTGTGCTGCCTCTCGATTTGTTTGGTTTTGTTTTGCTTCTGATTCCGATTTCGATTCTGGTTTTTGTTTTGGTCCTTTGTGTCGTCAATTGGTCGAGTGCGTGCTTTGTTGCCATCTCAGTCGTCCATCGAGTGTTTATGCCTTTGTTTTGACTTCGGCCTCGACTCGATTTTGTATCTGATAATTTATTGCCCGGCTTGTGCCAAAAAAAAAAAAAAGGAAAGAAAGAAGCTGGAATTCAACCAAAAGGGAAAAGGATCTGTCGTGTGCCCGGAGAGATGCTCTCGGCCACAGTACCGGAGATATGCGGGACTCCCGATGGCGGGTCTCTCAGAGGGCAACGGCAACACCTTCGCATCTGTTACTACTTTGGCAGCGGTAGTAGCCCCTGATTTTGGTCACTTTTGTAGCCGTGTTGCTGTTACAACTGTGTTGTGTCCTCTGTTTATGGGCTGCTCCTCTTCCCAAAAACCCCGATTGTCGATTCCCGGACCCCTTGTGGGTCCAACAATGGCCACAAATGAAAAATCCACTCCGACTCATTGTGTCGCCTGTCACCTGGAATTAGTAACTACAAGTATGTTAAAAGGTTCATTCATGTTGCGCTTGTTTTGACTTTTGTTTCGCGCCATCCTCTCCGTCCTCTGGAAGACATTTGTAGTTCTCGGTTTGGTCTGGGATTCGTTCTGGGGACCCCGACATCGTGGTATCACGGTATCAATTTCGCCTGGCTGCTTCACGGTGTTCCCTTGTCCGTAAATTGATAGCCAGCCAAAATAGTCGGCATATTTGCCATGCACAATTTGTGCTTGACAACGGAAAACTCGAAACAGCAAATGTATTTCTCAAGTATTGGTCTTTAAAGTGTTTTTAATTCGGAATCTGGAGTGGGATGGGAAGTTTTAAATACTCCAAAAATTATTTATTTAAAATTACAAATGTGCTTTATAACTAAATAGTGATGTTGCTTTATAACATAGCAAAGAGAGTGTTTGGCCAAATATAGCAATAATCTGCTTAGAATTTAATTTCTTATACTGCTGCCTTAATATTCCATGACTGTTCGGATAACAAATCATTAGTCTTTGCCTTACAGGAGCAGTTTTTGGAGTGAGGTAAATGGTTCTCCGAATAAGGCTCATATTTGTTAGCATTATATTCCGTAGGTCTATTCTCACAGACCGAAATGGCCAAGTCAATGCGTTTTTGGGAAATGCTTATGATATGAAGAAGCTCGTTGATGTTGTTGAGGTTGGCAAACTCCGGTTTATTGACAGCTTCTTCAAGATTGTATAGACTCTTGTCCTGAGTTTGGTTGAGCATGGCCAGCTGGTTAAGCAGGGATGTCGCCTTGATAATGGAGGTCTCGGTGAGATTTCTAAGCAATGGCAGAGTGCTCAGTTCATCTTCAGAAGTAACCTGAGATACATTTATGTGACCAAATGATTCCTTCAAGTTGTTTACTCTTGGAGTAATGTATTGCTTAAGAATCTGTTTAACTAGGCTCAGCTTATCATCCAATCCCTTCGAATTGCGCAGGATTTGTTCTTGCATTCCGATAAGTTTGCTCGAAAAGTTGTTTACACGATCACGATTTAATTCTCGGAATCTAAGCAAATATGACACAGTATTAATGGTCCGATTTCCAAAATAGTCCACCTTGTATATGGAGTTGACCAAGCTTTGCAAAAGATCGGCTTCCGAAACAGCGAGAGATCCCGTCACATTCAACAGGAGCTTTTCAATGTCATTGATCCGGGATAAGGACTTGACTTGCTTGTCTAGATCCGAAATGATGTTCGACGTTTCGGAGTTTAAAATATTAGCCAAAAAGTCAGACTTGGTCAAAGCAACTGTATTCTCAGCCAGGAGGGCTAAGAATATTTCTTCTTCTGGCGGCTTGGGAGTGGTTGTAGTTGAAGCAGTTGTTGTAATAACTGTAGAAGTTGCTGTTGAACTTTCTGTTGTTGAAGTTACGGTTGTTGAAGAGGTATCTCTTGTTGAAGCACTTGTTGTATTTTCGTTTGTGGGGGTCGCCGTTATAATTGTGGCTTCAGTTACTCCAAATCCTACAAATAAGGCCGCTGGTTGGGCACCATCGTCATCCACAAAATCCGGGGAGTCCTCAATGTGTACAGTCTGATTTGAAGGCGGATCTACTGCCCAGGCAACCACAGCAAACACCAATAATATGATTGTAGTGGGAAGATTCATTTTCGGGTCTCTGCGGTCGCTGGTATAATAATAAACTGAATTCTGACGGCCTTCACCCCTGCTTAAATATGCTGATTTACATTTCGCCCACCTCTTCACGTTCACAATGTCAAGTGCAGGTGTGTTATCGGAGAGCTTCTTCTTATTCTCCGAAGTTGTTTCGTGCTCTGGATTATCGGTTCTATGTTATGCTTTGTGGGTCACTTTTACCAGCGCGAGTTTAATGTTTGAAGCCGATTCTGGTTCATTGGAATGGGGGGCAGTGGCAAACAAAGAGACGGACACAAAAATGAACACATGGCTCGATTTCCCCATCCCATCAGTTGAAAAGCTAACTATTAACCACATAAAAGTCAACGCCAGCCACATGGGGGTCACACTCAAAGTCAAATTTTAATGAAAAAGTGATTCATCATTTAAGCGGCTGCATCAATTAACGGCCAAACGGGGTGAGTTTGGGGCCCGAAGGGTGGGCCTCTCAATAAGCGGGTCAAATTAGAATAAATAGTTACACAAACAAGCGGACCCCTTTGCTCCCGCCCTCGGGGGAACGGGGTGGAGTGCGGGAAATATTGCAACAAATCAAAAAATTAAAAATAAATAAAAATGAATTGAATAATTTAGGTCACCCATGTCTCGCTCGCTCCCTGAAATGCACAAAACCCATGAATGAGTCGAGTCAAGATGATGATGGTTGCCGCCGTTAGTGGTTCAATGGGATTGGGTTAGTTTCGGTTTTCTTGGGCTATTCTTCTCTAATTAATTGCCGCATAATTCATGAATTGCATGCTGGAAGACTCTGAACGATAATAGACTATAACAAGAAATCTAGGAAATGTAATTTGTATATTTTATTTTAAAAATATTAAAACTAAAAAATAAATATTTATACTTTTTTTGTACAAATAGTTAAGGTGAGAAATTTTAAAGCTCAACATAAAATAAAATATTAAAAAATTTTCCTCAATCTTTATAACTTTTAAAGTTTCCAAATCAGACGAATGACATTGTTTTACTCTTATTTAAGCATTGTTTTCGTAGTTTTCCCCAGTGTAGGGGAAGTAATTTCAATAAATATTCTATTAGTCTATTGAAAAACATGAAAATATTATGAAAATTGTCTTTCTTTCGGTGCCGCTCTTATGCTGGTTGACATTTAAACCCATTTCGATACGAAGATTCCAACGGGGGTTGCCACGGATGGGGGCATTGTGTTCCGGGGGCACTGCAACCGCATGGCATGCAATTATGCATTCATCAAGATTATGACACGACATGCGAGTTCCTCTTGTGTCTTTAGCAGCAAATGAATTTGTACTTTAGCTGTGGGTGATGTTCTCGTTGCCAGTTTTTTCTGCCTCTTCTGCTGCTGCTGCGACTGCTGCTGCTGTGTTTTGATAGAACAATTTTGCCGGCAGCACACGCGATTTGGAAGCGGCGCGTAATTAATCGTCAAATGAGTTTAATTGTTTATGTCTCTCGCTCGCGTCTGTGAACCGAGCGCGGTGTCTTCAGATGCCCGCCAGATAGGAAAACATAACATAAAAATTTGGCTCACAAGCACTTAACTAAGAGTTTAACTAATGGCCTCAACTAAAAACAAACTGTGCAGCGCATAAGCCCTTTTTATTTATTTATTTAATTTATTTATGGATGCAGGGCATTTTGGTATTTCGTTAATGAAACATACCAGCTTCTTTTTCTTTCCATAGAAAGATATTCTCATTACAAGTTCATCAGTCCTGCTATTAGCTCTGGAAATTAAAAACCAGCTAAGGGAAAATTAGAAAAACACAAAAATTGGGGAAAAACAATTACAGCCGGGGGGTGCCAAGTCACATGGCCGGGACCAAGACCCCTGTATCCTGACTCCTGGTCCTGGTTCCTGACATACGCCGGGGTTCACCATTCATCATCAGCCAAGTGCAACCGCAGCCTGGGCCTGTGGCCGCCCGCTGATTAAGACAAAAACAACAAAATTAACAAAAAATTTGCATTTTAATACGAAAATTCAAGCTCAAGCTAAAAAATAAAAAGTTGTATCCTCCTCCTTGGTTCCGGTTCCATCGCAGGGGTGCAGAGGGGGGCTAAAAACAAAAGGAGGGCTAATAATTTTATCAGCGACAAACAGTTGACAAAATCAGCAAAATTTTTTTTCAGCCAGGTCCTGCATCCGTTTGGCGTGGAAACTTAAATTAACTGTGAAAGAGACCACGCAGCCAGGACATTTGTCTTGTCTCACTCCCGGGCAGTGCGATTTTCCCTGGATGGGGGATGGCACTTGGGAGTCGGGGCAGGGTCTGTCTTGGAGATTATTAATCATCTTTTGTGCGCGTCTTTTGGCTTTTCGTATGCCTCATTGCAGGCACAGCCAAGCCAAGTCCTCTTTGAACTTTTTGACTGGCTCTGCTTTTGCAGAGGAAATCCTTTTCTAAGGAAATTATTTTGTGTTCTTTTTCTTTTTCAGTTTCAGTTATACTTTGTATGGCGAGACTTGTTTTAGATTCTGGCTAATGAATTTCTGTTGATAAAGAACTTCATAAATTTTCAACTTAATTAAGTTGCACCCGCTTGTCAGCTGGCAGCTTAGAACGTGAGAGAGACTTCTGCTTGGGTTTCTTAGAAAAAGCGGGGGTTTTGCGGTGCTCATGATATGAGAGTGCTCAGGTGGATTGATTTACAGCTCGTACAGCTAATTAAGATTGTTAAGATGCTGGTAAAAATGTCAGTTATCACCCGCTCAGGCGATACGAGCGCTAAGATACATGATAAAATATACGAGCACTATTCATTGGACTATCTATTATCTTAGACTTTGCGATTTCCCATTTTTGTGTTATAAAGTGGTAAGTAAATTGTTTTTTCCCAGCCATTATTTCATTTGCCTTTACCCCTAGGGTAAGCTTCTTTGATTTTTCTAAACTCCAGGAAGTGTGCCAGCTCTGAGAGGGAAACCTCTGTCCTTTCAGCTCAACTTCGCCCCGTCTGTTTGGGCTTAAAGCGTTAATTCGTAATTTATGTGTCACACGAATCGAAATTGAATGCCAGGCGAAATTATGGAATATTTATCATTTCACACAAGTCCAACCGAAGTGAGCCAAACTTAGCCACCTCCAGGTAAGTTTATGCACTCAGGGAAAAAGTGCTTCTACCTTTTTATTATTATGAGTAGAACTCAATTGAATTTGGGCTTCATTTGCTGGGTTTTGGATCACAATACGTAGAATAAAGTGGTTTTTAAAAATAAATTTGTGATTTCTATGTTAGTTTTAAATATATTTTTTGTTCCAGTGTGACGATAAAGCAGGGAACTCCGTGGCAACTGGGGCCAAGGAGCGTTTGTCAATTCGAATTACGAATTACGACAAAGTGCGCTTAAGTTATGTGCGTGTTTCGTTCGCGGCGGAGAAAGGGACTGCAGTCTGCAGTTGGCCATAAAGTCGATCTCCCTTTTGGCCAACTGCCGGGATATTGTGGCTGCTAACCGTAAACAGCGCACAAGGAGTGAAATATTTATAACGTTTGCATACAGTCCGCCGAGAAGAAAGGAATGCAACCGCCGGCGGCCAATGGGCAATGTCCAGTGTCCAGTGTCCACCGCCATCGTCTGGCAGTCCTTGCAGCAGTGGCAAGTGTTAATTGGAATCAATTTGATAATCTCCTCACCCGATCCCGGCATACGGGTCCGCCGGGCTGCTATGCTGAGTTCATGATAATTTCGCGGATGTGCGTTTTTGATTGAAAATTACGCTGTGGGGGGCAGTGTGCCCTGGCCGAGACCGAACGCGAACCCAAACCCGAGGCCGAGTGATTCCCTTTTATCGCACAAAGCGCATAATTCAAGGTGAATTAATTTAAATGCCAATTTATGGCCAAAACATTCGTGTGTGTGTTAAATGGAGCAATGCAGCCCAGAACGGGTCCAGAATAACTGTAACTGCGAGCGACAGATTGATCATAAATTAAGCTTTATATTGCGAAACTGTTCCCTTGATAAATTTGTACTGGAAATGGGTTTTGTTGGCCGAAGCCAGGGTCTACAAACATACATACATATAAAAGTAGTCGTATTTTTTTGAAAGTTGAATAAACTAATAGTATGTCTTTCGTTAACGTTGAATATTTACTATACTAAGATCCATAAGTAATACACTGGGAAATCATTGAACAAGTCCAGAGAGCCTTCTCATTGCCAGACTGACCCCTTCTTAGCTTCTCTTCTAATTAAAGCAGTGGCAAGGGTGCCATCGGTCCAAATAACCACCCACATCGCTGGCCAAAAACCCACCCGCAGCAGGAGCAAGGCTGACATGTGGCTGATTAACATATTATGCGACAAAGTGCCACTGGACACACCGCACACACCGCTCAGACACAGATTCGGACAGATAGGAGGGAACTGTGGCAATTCAACGCCTGTCACTGGCTGTTTGCGCAGATAATTCACGCCAACGCCAAACCAAAACCAAAACCAGACCGACTTCGAGTTCGGGCTGGGGGTTCGGATTCAGATACAGATACAGCCACGAGATTCAGATCCAGATCGGAGGGACCACAGAGTGAGCTTGTCTCGGTTTTTTGGGTAATTGAAAAAGTTACCTCGACTGCGGTGTATCTGGGAAGTGGGATCTGGTGCACGGGATATGGGATATGCCGTACACAGCGATGGCTATCGATGTTGGCGATAGGTGAGTGAGAGACGACAGCCAGCCAATTAAGGGTTAAACACTCTGCATATGCAGGCTCTGTGTCTTTGTCTGTGATTTGCATAATTCCGGGTGGTGTATCTCCGCCGGTGTCCAATTTCATTAGCAATGTGGTCCAATCCCCAAACGACAGTGTTTTCAAATGGAACTTTCAGCATATCTGTCACCGAAATGTGTGCGTGGCGAGAGTCTGAGGCCGAGTCCCAGGCCTTTTTGTCACATTACGAGCATTTACATAAAATGAAATTGAATACGTTGCGGATTTTTGGACATGTGGCCCGGGACAGCCCCAGCCCGGACAAGACGGACGACAACCCTGTCAACCCTCTCGCTATCCCTTTGTCATAATTTAATTAGCAAAGGTAACAAATGAATGGTGACCCCCCAACATCGTTCAGGACATTGTTTGACCCCCGGCTCCTTGAGGGACATGATAAATTTGCAGCCATTTCGCACAAGTCATAAATTAGGCAATCGGAATTTGTTTTCCAATTACACATATTTCACACCGCACGCCAAATAACTTAGCTTCACTGTCAGACGCTCGCGGAAAAATGGCAGTGGGAGAATCGAAGGCTATTTCTATTTGATAATTTATAACGCACGGCAGCCGGGCCAACAAGTACAAATTGTCAAAAGTGTTTTGCATCTCGAGAGGCGACCAAGCCGACCACCCATGGTGGAGGCACACCACCATCGCCCGCTCTCCTGACCCCGGAGACTGCCACGCGTTCGTAACGAGTCACAAATTCGCATTGCAATTGACCAGACTCTCGGCGCAGTCTCAGTCTCCCATCATAATTTCCCGGCCAACAACACCTTCCGCAGTCCGGTTTTTCTCTTTTTTTTTTTTAGCAGCCACTTGAGGTGGAGTGGAGAGGAGCGGTTGCCACCCGCTTGGACAGCATTTGCCTTGGCATTTCGTGCCACCCAACTGGCCGCTTATTTTTGCGTATTAACGCGCGAAATAATATTTTATTTTGACCATCGTCAAAGGATTGAAAAATGCCCCCTAATATCTTAGGGTCTTTGTGACGGCTTTGTGTGTCCAGCGAGGATCGGGGACCGAGGACAGAGGACCGAGACCATGGACCATGCGAAATGCCTATATGTGGTCCTCTTCGCTCTCGGTAAGCTTATATAATTATTCTTTCTTTTCAGGCAACGTGTTTTGCATATGAAAGGCGCAGAAAAATGGATTGTACAGGTAAACGGAACAGATTTCAAAAGAAGCTTTTGTGAGGAGTCCACTATTTAAATATTTAAATTTAATATAAACATGTTTTAAGTGTGAATATGTTTAGCCTTAAAAAAAGCGATTTGTTAAATAAATAAAAAGCAAAATAAACCTTTATTTAGCAATTTTATGTTTCAGCCAGCACTTACTCTACACTTTTGATTGCCATTATCTTTACGTTCATTATCGAATTATTTTCAACAGATATTTAATACTGAAAACCATTTACTTTTCAAGCACATTCGATCTATCCATATTGATTCTGTAACATGCCAGCTAAATTGAAAGATTGCGCCAGGCAGCTCTTTGGCCTTTTGGTTGTATTAAATTAGTCTCAGTTTTGTAATGGCTTGTCCAAATAATTTAATAGTTATTCTGAGCAATTTTCCGCACAATTTTCCATAGCTCGTTTACGGCATCATAAAGACAACAATTTGTGGTACGAAATATAGTTCACGGACACACCTCCTTGCGCGGCAAATTGCAATTCTTCAAGCCGGATTCCCACGTTCCACCGCCACAAGAGTGAGCCAGCGAGCGAGCCGAGTGTGAATGCGAATGCAAATTCAGGGGATCAATCACTCGCCTAGAGCCACTTGCTCGACTCGATCTTCTCCAGAGCAGCAGGAGGAGAAATAGTGGAAGCAACCGTTACCTTCCTCTTCTCACTCTCGGCCAATTGGTCACAAAATCTTAACACCTCGGCCAAGGTTGGGGGATGATCGGCCGATGATGATCGCAGCAAGCTGATCACTCAGTGGCGACCATTAAAGTCAAATCATTTTTCACATTTAGATGCTGGCCAACGAGGAGATACTCAGTGGATGCAGTGGAACCCGGTGAGGCACGGCGGCTTCAATTGATGCCCAAATCCGAGTCCATCCATCTGAAATTGCCCCGATCACGATTCGCGGGGCGAACGAAATATATTCGATGGCAATTGCGATGGTCTGCGACTGGGCCTGCACAGAAAGAAAGAAATGGTTAGAGTGTCAGTGAAATAGCCAGGGATTTGAAATCAATTTAATTAGTGACGAAAAGTGATCCGTTGAATATTTGGTATTTCATTTATTGTTAATCTTTCCTGTAAAAATCTTAAGAACATGAATAGAAAATATCTTCTGATTTAATCTTATTATTTTCTTTACAAAATTCTAGATTTTTTGTTGAGTGCAGCTTTGGTACTAGTCCGAGGGCTTACATAAAAGTAATCAAATCAACACCTCCATCAACTCCTTTGGCTACGCTCCAACCGCAAAATGCCTTCCTTATTTCGGAGCCTGACCAATTTGGGTTTGGTAATTTTTCTCTCTCGGACTCAGACTCCGGCTTGGAGTCGGAATCGGAGTCGGAGCTCGTTGCTTCATTCCTCTGGAGCTCTGTGCAGTGGCGATCGGCTGTCGATCAAATTGTTATTTTCGATATCTAATTTGTCATTTGGCAGCGGCAATTTGCCTGTTGCCCTGGGTCTGGGTCTGGATCTGGCACTGGGTCCCTCCTCCGGGTTCGACTTGACTCGACTTGACTTGGGTTGAGATGGCTGGCTACAAGCTGTCTGGCCGCACGATCCTCGAGACGGGCCCGGGGCCAACTGGGGAATCCCGGCGATTATCTTGTCGGCGCGTGAAATTCCCCCGGAGCTGCGGAGGAATTGACCTGCAATTGATACCAATCCACGGCAATCCATTACAGGGGCTAAGCGCACAAGTTGCATGTCTCATTATTGGCAATTTCGGATCAGTTCGGGTAATTGCCCCCTCCGCGGTCCTGCGGTGGGTGCCCGGGCATGACTTGGGCATTTGTGCCGGCAACACATGATATTTGGTTGCATCACGTCCCGCTTAATGTTGGGATATATGTGCATATAGTACACATGATCATATACATATGCCCGCTTTGAGGAAGTTATGAAAGTTTTGCTAGTTCAGCGGTCATCAGATGAGTGTCTTTTGGGGTTAAAGAGCAGTTTTGGGGAGTGTGTAATGTAATTTTGTAACGGAATTTTGTTGGAATGTTGTGAATGACCTGGATTAGTTATAGGAGTTCTGGTTTGGGCTACTTTATCTGAAGTCCCTCGGAGATATTATGAATTCTAAAGAATATATAATCACACATCCACAATTAATACTTTTTCCTGTAGAATAAGAACCTTTCTTTGCTATTTGTTTGTAATAAATCAGATTTTTATTTAACCAATACACATTTAAATATTGAAATAAAACAAAAAGGAAAACAAACACTGTTACACTAATTAAATACTTAAGTACATTTCAATGAACGCCATAAACATGTCGAGTCCCTCTGGTGTTGATGCCGATTTTGATGCCTGTCTACCGTGATGAGTCTACAAAAATCGGTGATAAGGATACATACAATACAAACACTCCGCACACCCGCCGACAGTTGCCTTTTAATTACAGCTGCATCCATTATTTATTATCAGTAGATTTACATTATTGAATACCTCGGAATCACACTTAATATGTATTTACACGCGTTTACGTGATGCATTCAGAAAGCAATTGGATTTTTTATAATATTTATTTAGACTTAATTTGTATTTCATGTTATTTACACAAGTTCTGTTCGCATCATTGTTAATTTTCTGTCAATGATTTATTAATACGCAAATTGTTTTCGAGCAAATCGGAAATGTTTTTTCGATTACTAATCTTATATACAGTTGGGAACGAGATTCCTACCCATCGAAGGAGGATACCAAAAATGAAAATCAAACGCAATACGGGGAATTTCATTATAAACGCAAATTTTTATTATTACAAAATATAGAAAACGTTCATACTCTATACACATAAATAAGATAATGCTTAGGCTTAAGAAAAAATCGTTTAAGAACTGAAACTTGCACTGAACTTTTGTGTTTTACTCGTTTTGATTGCTAAATAAAAAATTCGCTAAATTTTGTATTCATATTCAAACGATACAGGATGCCCCCTTGGCGGCGTCTTTGAGATGCACGCGAGAGGGGAAAACTAGTCGAGAATTGAATTGAATTTTAAATTTTACTTAAAGTAAAAATAAAATTGCTAAAGCACACATAAAAAATTGCCACACATCAAGTAAACATAGCTTAAAATTTTTGGTATATTTCTGCAAACCACTGGGAGTAGAGTTTCATCTATATATTCATATATGTATATTCGTATATATGCTACTTTACATATATAAATATTTCAACTAACTTTATGTTTTGTCTTTTGAGAGGATTACGGAGATGTCTCATTCTTCTTTCGACTTCCATCCTTAACTTGTTCAGCTTTTCGAAAATTAAGTAGAACTCAGTGCCATTTAAATATTATACACATTTATATATAAAGACATTGTGTGCCGCCATTTTTTGGGTTTAACTTTTAAAGTTCTCTGGTATATGTCAGCTGAGATTTGGCAGCTGTGGCGGCCTAGAGAAAAAATTCAGGTTTTTGTTTTCAAGGGAACTATGTACAAAATTACAAGAGAAACAAGTATGGGAAAATTACACAATTAAGCTACGCGGCTGCTCTTCCTTTTTCTTTTTTTTTTACATTTTTTGATTGAATTTTTTTTTTTTTTTGGGATTAGTGGGTTGAGGGGCGGTTTTTGGAGGTGGCGGGGTATCTACAAGGTTGCGCTTTAGCCCCATTTCTAGATGCATAAATAATTACACTACTTGACATCCACAATGAGAGGAACTTCGCTGATATCGATTAAATTTGGCGGCGATTGCTGCTGTTGCTGCTGCTGCTGCTGATGTTGCTGCGGCGCCACGGCTGCTGTTGCAGTTGCCGTGGCCGTTGGCGTCGATGAGGCAGATGACAGCGATCCGGCCGAAGACGAGGAGGGGATGGCCGCCGTGCCCAGGTGATGATCGCCGCTGCTGACGCCGCTGTTGCTCGCCAGCAACATGCGCTGGTGGTGCTGTTGCAGGCACTGATTTGCATTGACTGCAGCGGCGGCCATCATCATGGTGGCGGCATCGCAGTAATTAGACAGCATCGTTGTGGTGTTCACCGCGGATGTTCCCGCTGTCGCCGGTGTCACATATGCGCTAGTTGGTGTGGCCATATAATCGGAGTTGCTGTGGCTGTTACCGTTGTTGCTGCTGCTGCTGCTGCTGTTTGTGTTGTTGCTATTGCTGTTGCTGCTGCTGGTGCCGCCGCCGCCGAAAAAACTGCCTGAGCTCATATGATTGTCGCTGTTGTTATGGCTGTAGTTGTTGTTGATCTGCTGATTGCAAATGTTGCCGCCGCCGTTGTTAGTGTTGTTGCAGCCGATGCTGCCGCTGCTGCTGCTGCTGCCGTATGTCGGCTGCATGACAGCAACATTGGCGAGCTGGTCATGACTGCTGGCGACAACGTTGTGACTGCCACAGCCAGCGACTCCGACTCCGATACCGCCACCGACCCCGAGACCGCCAGGAACACCGCCGCCTCCGCCGGGATTGATGTTGAGCGTTGCAGCCGCCACAGCTGCGGCCGATGATCAAGTTGTTGTCAATTGGCGCCACATCGTGTGTCACATCGAAGGCAGATAGGGCCACGAGAAACTGTTGCCGCTCAGCAGCATGTCCCGGATCAGCGTTTCGATTGGCGTTTTTCCGACTAGACGCACAAAAAACAATTGCTCGATGACCTGAGCAGGGAAAAGGGTGAGAAAACAGAAGGGAAATATTTAAAATAAATAGGGGGAAATGTAATTTTAACTAAACAAACCCCTTAGAATAATTTAAAGTTAGGATAATCAATCAATATGTGTGCCCCATTGTTATAATTTCTAATCAAATAACACTCACTTGTGAGGAGACCGTTCGCAGCGATGGCAATCTGAGGAGCAGCTTGCCAAATCTCGTGGGCTGGTTGGGGTACTGTGTCCGGCAGTACTCCTCCAGGGCGCACTGCGACTTCTCTTGCAGGGATTCGATGTGCGTCACGTCGGACAGGCCGCAGGCATCTGCAATGGAGGTAAAAAGCGACAATAAGTACTCTGCGGATCAACAATGTATCGATGCAAATGCCATACAAGGCTGATACTCTTTCTTTCTTTAAGGCAGTTCACCTGGCGCCGGGCGGAAAGACTTCAGACTGCCGAGTGCCTGTCAGACAAATAACTGAACATGAGTCGCTGCCACGCCCACTGAATACAACACAACACAAGAGCCGTGGATCGATGACGAAACTGGGAGATTACGTCATGTTCACTTGATTTATGTTCAATTGAAGGCGCTGCGCGTGCTCTACTGAGAACGGCCGAGCAGTCGAACAGCACTTGGGTTAATTAAATTCGGGAAAATTGAGCCGCAAGACAACGCCCTGTCCCTGTCCCCGCCAGAGTCCATCTCTTGGTTGCTGGCCAGTTAGCCGTGGCATTTAATTGCAGCAATGCTGGATTGCGCATACGCAGCGTGTGCCGCCGAGTGTTAATTGCCAGGCACCAAAAGTTTGCTTATCAATTGCCGCCGTAAACACATCAACAAAAAATCCCAACGATCGCGACGAGCGGTTCTTCTATTTTTGTCTATTTTTTTCCTTTACTCATATATATTTTGGTGTCCAACTGTTTGAAATTCAAATTAGACATCAGCACTTGTAAATTTGCATAGCTCTAAAGCATTTTAAATGGTTGCTGACGCCGAGAATGGCGTTTCGAAATTGCATATGAAATTTCGGTTGCTTAATTAGTCACCGTCACCGCTCAACATGAGGACGGAGGACTCCATGGCGCACAACAGAGGGGAGCTCGGAACCGCCGGCAGATACATATATCATTTTGCAGTTGAGCAGGCTGGGTTAATGATTGGCGATATCATCGTGATTCGGGCTCAAATATCCGATTGCCCAGACTGCATGTCGTTAATGGCTCTCCGGGCACGCAACTTCGAGTCCGAATCCGAGCTGGCCATAAAAGACAAGTGTCAATTGAAAGCCAAAACCATGGCTTGTTCGCTGTTCGGCCTGGGCTCAGAGATAAACAAACTGGCAAATGGAAAACATTCGGCTGCAGTTATCGTATAAATTTCCTAGAGGCCCCCACACAAAGCGCTTAAATCAAGTTAAATGATTTGTCGCCGGAGGCAGCAGGAATTCAATTAGCCATTATTAACCATTCGGCCTCATAAACAACGATCGGCAACGAGCGGGCCAGCGAGCGAGCCGTGGTAACAATCGTGAAGCTCCGGCGATACAAATTAGACATGGTCAGTCTGGCGAGCTCAGCGAATCACTTCATTGGCCATGGCCATAATTGTCAATTGACTTTCCATTAGCCCGGTCGATCCCCTGGAATCGAGATCCGCGAGATCCCAAAATCGAGAAAGAAAATCATAAGCGCAGAAGGAGGCCAGGCCAGGCGAAACATTTTGGTTTCATTGAAATGCAGCGGAGATGACGAGGAACGGCTATGGGATGGGATTTCTCAGTCGAGGAGTTGCATGCGCAAAGTGAAAGACATTCCACTTCCAGGTCGGGCAGCGGAGAAATGCACTACCCAGATCGAAGCTTTCTCGAGGGGATCCGAGGCTCCGTCTACGTCTGGGCTTTGATTTTTGGCTCTTCGTCTTGGCTCCAGCTTTGTTAACTGTTTTCGGCCTGTAGTTATGTATACCCTACGAGCCTGGCTTCGATTCGTATTTGTATTTGCTGGGGGTTTTGGATTTTCGGTTTTTGGTTTTCGGTTTTGGGTCGTCGCAGTTACTAACTCAGCGAGGGAGAGATCGTGACCGCGTGTTTTAAATGCATAATGACCGTAAAGTAGTTGGCCAAGCGGCAGACATACGCTCGTATCGGAAAAGGAGCACCAGAGGGGGCCAGGAGGGTTGTTTAACAAAATTATGAATTGCTGCATTATATTTTATTAGATTTGTGTTCTTTATGGCTCCAAATTCTGGCCGCGCAGTTCGTGCCGCGACCGCCACAAACAGTTATAGCTTTATTTAGTTTTAATAAGGATCGGGTCGCGCGGGGTCAACTGTGGAGACAGGCGACCGCTAAGGCAGTTCCGCTCCATCGACTAAATCTTGGGTAAACAGAGTGGGAGAGGGACCAACCTAATATCGAACGCGCCCTTAATGATTCCAATCAACCAAGGCCCAGCAGAGTTACTGTTAATTGCCAGACTTCCAGCCCCAGTCCCAGTCCCAGTCACTGTCCCAATCCCAATCCCAGTCCCAGGCCCAAAAGGCACGTCTCTAGGCAATGCAATTTTCAGGGGAAAAGTAGCGCAGGCTTCGGGGCAATGAGGCTATGAGCCAAAGAAAAACACACACAAAATGTTGGTCAAAAAGTGTGGCCAAGACATGAAAGCTACAACTCTTAACAACTGCAGCAAACGACAGCAATCAGCGGGGCGAAGATGCACCCAGCCAGGTTAAGCCTAGCTAGGCCAGGGCTAGGCGAGGCAGCCGGAGGAGCAGACATGTCGTCAATGCGCCGCTGAAGATCTAGTAAGTCTATACCCGGTACTTTACTACCGCGATCGTGTCTCGTCTCCCACAATCTCGCGGCTGAGACCACGGCGACTGCACAGCGATTGATCGGCTGCAGTTTATGGACTCATGCAGCCAATTCAAATGCAATTGCAGCTTGCGAGTCGGTCCAGGGTCTCTGGTCTCCGGTCTCGGATCTCGCCATCTCGGGCCTCGGCTCTCGGGTCTCTGGTCTTAGCCAGCGAGACCACGAACTCCACGCCACACACGCCCCCTCAAGAGCTGCGCTTAGCTGATCTCGGCTTGCACTGGGAGAAACTAAGGAAAAACAAAAGCTGCTAAGATATAAGGGAATACTCCCTTAATAGAAAATTCTCCTAAGGCTTAATCTTCATGGTTCTTTGTTAACAGAAATTTAATTTTTTTAAAACATGAATATACCCCTAAAACTTATGCTTTTTCCCCGTGTAGCTTGGCTAGCGACACACACAGCGTTTCGGAAATTGTAAAATTATTTTCATTGCAAGTTCGGCCAAGGCCTGGACATGGTCCATTGGCCGACTGGAGTCGGGCTTGTAAGTAAGCGACATAAACGAGTGTTGTATTAATGTTCATAATGTGGTATCTCGACGTCAATAAACGTCGCCACGGCGAGCAGGGGAAATGGCTGGGATATGGCCGAGCTAAGTCGGCTCAGATCGGCGGAAAAACAATTGCGACGTGGAGTTGGACAGCTGGCTGACACGACCGGAGGAGGGGGAGATACTAAGTCAAAATTTCACTTTTCCCTCACCGAACTTAAGCCTGGACTTAATTGCTAACTTAGCCTGGGCTAGAGAGACAAAGAAAAGCGCGGTTCACTCTATTTGCATACAAAACTTCCATGATTTATTTCGCGTGGAGGCTAATTGTCGAAAAGTAAGTATATATATAAGGTGGCTTAAAATATTTAAATTATTCGCTTATGAGCTGGTGTGATTTATTTATATTTGTGTGTGCATTGCGTGTGCTTGTGTTAGGCGTGCATGTGTTTCAGTGTGAGTGTGTTTGTAATCCCAAAGTCCAGAGTTTTGTTGCCACGTGCGGATGAGATTAAATTTTGTTTGTTTTTGTGTGAATAGCTTTGTTAAAAATGAAATAAAAATGTGAAAAGATTAGTTATAAATAAATGGGTGTTTGGAAAACGGAAAACAGTAATTTTTGCTGAAATTATGAGTGTTAAACTTGAAAAAACATCAACCAAAATTAGGGTTTTCCAATGAGCTGAAAAAAAAACACATATGAAAATTCCTTTACCTTGGGTTATGGTTTTGCCTTTTAATCTTAATCAGAACAAGTTCATCATTTTAAGAATATCAGGCAAACTTGATTTAACTGATGGTTTAAATACAAATTTCTTTTGAAATAATTTCAACGGTAGATTTTTAAAAAGTTCTTTTATAAATAATTTAAAAATTTGAACTTTTGCAATAAATTAAATTTACATACTATATGTATAACTGATAGTTATTCTTAAAAAAAGATATATAGAATAGTTTTAGCACGGAATAAAATAGAATTAACTATAATTTCGCATTAAAAATCGATTAAATAATTTTAATTTCAATTAAATTAAGAAATTAAAAATAGCTAATCAAAGATTTACTTTTTTGTTGAGATTGAAATGGTTTGAAATCTATATTGTAACCAATTTAATATTTAAATAGAATTTACAATGAAAAAATAGTTTTAGTTTCTTTCAAATTTACGGAAACTAAAACCAATCCATTGAATTAGATGTACATTTTTCATAAAAAACTTGTATTTCAATTATTTAACATTTCAAAATGCATAAAATCAACTCATGATTGAATATGTATAAGAAATCTGAAAAACCTGTAAAATAATGTTCTATAGTTCTAAAAATTTTCAAAAATAATTCAAATTTAAACCACAATTTAGTAGGATCTCAAAGGCAAATTAAGGTAATAAATACAAAGTATACTTAGGGGTGGACTTGACCTTGCGGCTCAAACGGGGAAATGTTAGTTTGTTGGTTAATCAAAAATAACAAAATATTAAATAAAATAAAATATAAAATAAATAATTATATAGTGTTAGTTCACCAAAATAAAGCAACGAAATAAAATACTAGAACTAGTCAACAAGCGATTAAGCATTAGTAACAGATAACGAGTAAAAACACAGGCCAGGATTAGATTTTTGTTTAACAGCAACAGCTTTATATATATTCTTAAAGTTCTCTTCTCTCCTCCACTATCGATTCTTGGCATTCGGTTTTTGGCAAAGTTCTCTAGGCGAATCTAAGCAGTTACCACTAGACTAAACTAGACTTAGCGTAAGGCAATAAATAGGTAGATACTAGCAGTAGGCACTAAATTAATGTACAAGGGCTGACCTCGCGCTATACAGATACACATACAGATACGGATACATTTACAGGTAAGTACAGGGGCGTGACTCTGCGAGATCCTACAACTGCCATCTACTGCCGGCCAGGCTATACGGCGAGTACCTGTAGCTGGGGCTGCCGAAGGACGCGCTCCCACCGCCCGCCGAGTGGGCCAGGGCGTGGGCGTGACCCACTCCCACTCCGAAGGGCGTGCTGTGGTGGAACATATCGAAGGCCGAGCCGAAGGCGGCGCGCGGTGGCGTTTGGTAATGGAACATAGCTGCCGCCGCCGCCGCAGCCGAGGGCGTCTGATAGGCTCCACCGGCCAGCGAGGAGGAGGAGGAGGCGGTGGACACGGATGTCACTGGGACAGAAGAGGGGGGAGCAGCAGGAGCGGGAGCATGAGCGGATGTCAGCGAAGTACTCAGCGGCGAGGCGGTTAGGTTGCGGGAGGACGAACCGCTTTGCGATTGAGTAGGAAGCGAGGCGCCCAGCCCGCTGCTGTTGTTATGCCCCGTAGAGGCCTCGCCGCCGCCGCCGCTGCTCGGAGGCGTGGCTTGTGCCTGGGCATACAGACTGGCCAGAAGGTCCACCTCAGAGCCGGAGCCGGTTGCATTGCCATTACCGGCGGGCTTGAAGGCACTACCAGCGGAGGGCACCAATGGAGCAGGAGCAGTAGCCGCAGAGGCAGAGGCAGAAGCCTGAACCTGCTGCAGTTGCTCCGCCTGCTGCACTGCAGCCTCGACGCCGGCCACGCTCTTCATAAACGCCGCCAGATGGAGCGGTGCCTGCTGTGGCGCCTGTGACTCCAGCTCGAGGCGATTGAGTTCGTCCAGGTGCTCACGCACCACGCCCAGAATGTCGTCGTTGGTCGCCGGGGAGCTGCCCTTGCCGAGCAGTGCTGAAACCTTGGTGAGCAGCGCCGGCACATCCTTGTAAAGGATGTCCAGCAACTTACCAGTGGTGAAGAGCACAATCGCCTTGAGGCAGGAGTACTCCGCGGAGTCGACATGCAGCGCCTTCAGCTTCTCCACCTGCTCCTGGAAGATGCGGATGTGATCCATGAAGGCCACCACACGGTCGGCGGCCATCGGGGAAGCGTGCAGGCCGGCGGCCGCCAGCAGCGGCGCCACATGGAGCGGCATGCTGCACTGGCTGGCGTTCAGCACGAACAGCTCCGACCAGACAAGGCGCAGGAGGGCCACCTGATCGGTCACCTGGAGCTCCGGGAAGAAGGGGATGTTCTTGGCCCACTCGACCGCCGAGAAGAGCAGCCGCGCGGCCAGCTCGCAGATGTTGTCGATGCCCATAATGTTGTTGGGCTGCATGCACTGGCCGTAGCGGGACGTGGGGTACGGCTCCGCCCGGAGCAGCAGCGAGATGTAGGAACTAAGGTACGAGTGCCCATTGAAGCCAGCGATGCCCATGGGGTCTCCGTTGGCGATCTGGTACTGGCCGTGCATGCCGGCCAGTCCGGGCTGTGTTGGCGGAACGCGGCCACGCTGGACAGCTGGAAGTAGAAGAAGGATGAACGAAGTTAGTTTGGTTTTGGAAATAATTTTCATTTAAATTGTGTAATTCCTAAATACTTAATCTATATATCTTCTGAATAAACCACTTCTGAGGCTCTTTAAAATCAGATCCTTGGAAAGGAATAGAGGAGTCCCGCTTTTGTTGCTCTTATTTTGACCGCCACATCACACGCGGCACAATGCGAGGCATTCAAGTCTGTTGGCAAAGCTGCCACGGTACACAATGCCCTGTCCAATCTGGATATCTGGATGTCTGGATATCTGCGATCTCTGACGCATCTCCCGGGAGGGAGGGAACTGCGTTGTGGCCGTTGCCGAGCGTCCTTTGTCGTAAGTCCGAGACATCGTCATAAGATACTTTCCGCCACCCCAGAGGGTACGGAAAAAGCATTTCAACCCCTTTGTACGTGTTGTCGCAACTGCTTAGATATGCAAATTGAACTAAATACTTTCAGCGCATCTCGCGGATACACACACACACACACATGACGTGCATCTCTCGGATACCTCAGCTGCGGACTCTTGGCAGATCTCAAGCTGGCAGGGCAGAGCAGAAGGAAATATTGGACAGGTCTTTGCCGAGAGTGCGGCCGAACATATAAACATTATAATTAACAATGTAAATGCTTAACAACCGAGCTATAGCTAAAGCAGCTAAATGGAAAGTGAAAGGCCTTTTGAACTCTCGGGCCCGGAAACGGCATTTCCCCAGACATCGAGACATTGACATGGACGTGGATCGGACAGGGACATGGCTATGGCTGTGGAAGTGGATGTGGATATGGATATCCAATATCTGCTGGAAGTTAAGCGCAGCTTGAACACGCTCTCAAGTGTTGGCAGCTAGTGACATGTGAGCGGGAACTTGAGCACGTGCTGGCGGAGATTCATTCATTAAGCAATCAGCCAAGAGGGCAACTCGGGCCAAGGGCCTGCTCACTCCCACTCCACGTTCCCGTTCCCATTTCCATTTCCATTCCCAGTCCCTTGGCTGCTGTAATCTTCGCCAGATCTCGAGGTAAAACCACAAGCTTAGGCAGACTCTCCTTTTTGTTTTTCGGTGGCTTCTTCGCCGTTCTTGCGGTCAGACAGTTTTTTCCCAGGCGCATAAATAAAAGGAGCTGGACACTGGTCGGCGGACCGGTTTGCATCATAGATCACCAAGTGCAGGAGATTGTCGGGCTACTCCTCATCCCCCTGCACTATTACGCAAATGTATTGTGTAAATAAGTGTCGCCGTCCCGCTTGCTCCCCCGGCTGGACACTGGTCAACTGGTTGCAACCCCCGGCTTAATTGCTCCGCCAGGGCAATAAACAAACACCTTCGGAGCCAGGACAGAAAGGGATTTCCGGATATGTCCATTGTGCGGACTGACCAAAAGCACCATCGCCTTGGCTTTCTTTCCAAAAGACGTTACGTTCCGGGCTGCCAGTTTGTTCCAGGTAGAGAGAGATCTGCCAGGTAGAGTCCGAGTCCCAGTACCAGTTCCAGTTCCCGTCCACTCCAGCTGCACCACCATGAGCTGTGATCAATAATAACGTCTGTGCAGTTTAGCTATTGCCTTTGCTTTGTTTCACTCGCGGATTCGAGTTATTGGCCTGGCCCAGGGCTCCGATTGCGTTGGCCAGATTGCGCCAGAGCTCTAGGTGTGCCTAGGATGTGTGCTGCCCGCCAAGGTGTGGAGGTGTAAAAACCTTTGCTGACCCACTTTTCGGGCCGGCAAAGCCAAGTCTCTCCAACTAAGCCTGGCCATTGTTTGCCTCTGCCCCGAACTGCGAAATGCGTTCGAACCAAGCCCCGAACTGAGCGAATGCAGGTGTTGGTTGCAACCAGTGGAACTCGGAATTCCGGGGGTCAGGGTTCACGAGCAAGAGGTCAACCCCTTCGAATGGCCGGTTTCCAAGTAACTCCCGGTAAAAATCCCTTCAAAAAATTACAATAAATTCAAAATAATTTAACGCAATTTCACTACCCCTAAAAACTTGTTTTTCCGCCGAAGCTGACCAGTTCCATCCCACTTCCCTTGACCAATTGACACTGCAATTTAATTAGAGCGACCCGGAACACTGATTTGATGTTGTTTTTTCAGGTTTTTCGAGGCTTTTTGTGCGCCAAACCCGTACAATTCCCTGACCCAGGGTCGCTCCAGGCACCACCTTTGTCCCGCTTCGCAGCTAAGTACCGTGCCCTCTGCCTGTGCCCAGTAAAAAAGAGGGTAAAACCCAAGGAAACCTCCTATGCAGAACCGAGATTTTCTCACGATTTCTCAGCTATGATAGCGAGGGACTAGTTTTACGCAGAACTTGTCATTAAAGAAATGTGACTCAACGGCGAGCAGCTCCAGAATGTTGCTAAAGGTGTTGAACTCTTTTGCGTTTACGAGTTCTGGGGCAAGTTCGAGTGCCGCCGTGTGGAGAAATAGTGGAAATAGTGGACTTAATGGGCCCAACAGGTAGATCGGACCTGGGCACAGACTGTGTCATTAGCCAAAAACTCGCCTAGGTAAATTTGAAATGCTCTTTTCACAATCCGTCGCCGGCGACTAAATAAATGTTTATATTCATTTAATTACAAGTGCATTGAGAGGAGGCTGCTGTAGCTGCATTTTAATTGCCCGTAGTCGCCATAAATTAACGTTTTCGTTCTTAACCCAAATCGATGTGTACACCGCTCAGACAGACATCTGTAGTCCGTAGCTGTTTCTACTGCTGCTGGCTATTAGCATTTTGCGAAAAACCTGTCAATATTAGTGCAAATAATAACAGCTTAGCTGACGGCTAACTGCGGTCTGTCTCTATCTTTGTGTCCGCGCCTCCCTGACGGACGCTAATTGTTAATGCTGACAAGTGTAACTGGCCATTGTGACTGTCTGTCTAGCCAGGCAGTCAGTCAGTCAGTCAGTCAGTCAATCAGTCGGCCAGCGGAGTCAATCAGTCAGTCAGTCACTGCAGTGGCTGCAGGAAAACGAGTCTCACCCAAGTATGCCAAATATTTGGCTTGGCTTCGCTTACAAATTAGTTACACATTGGGCTGCATTCGATTAACTGATCAACTACAGCAGCCTGGGGTCCGGCGTTTCTCTCAGTGCAGGCTCGCTTTAATTATGGACCAGCGATCGAACAAGTTTGCATCTGATCCCCGGGGTCAATCCGCCTAATTGTCTTTGCCAGAGCAGAGCGACTCTCGTGCGTGGAAGCTGGGTGGAGGAGCACTTGGCCTGATCCCCGCTGATCCGCTCTGATCCGCCCTGGCCGGCGGCCACATTCCCTGGCATAGTTCCTGGCACCCAAATAACTCAACTGATCCGCACCGAACCGCGCGAACCCGATTCGCAATTGTTTCGCCGTCGAACACATTCCTAGCATGTGACATTTAGTCATCGCTGCTGCTCTACTTCCGTTCTTCTGCCGTTGATTTAATTTATTTTGTTTGCCATTGCCTCGGGGTTTGACTTTTAATTGACCCACAGCCCGGCACACTGCGATGGCCGAGTGTCGTTCTAAATACTAAATATTTGTTTTTCTGAGTAGGCGAGTGAGTCTTACCTTCGCGCCGCATGCCCATCTTGAGGCACTTCTTCAAGCGGCAGTATTGGCATTGGTTGCGATGATGCTGATCGATGGGGCAGTTTCTGCTGCCGCGGCACGAGTATGTGAGATTTCGTCGCACCGAGCGCTTGAAGAAAGATTTGCAACCTGAAAAAAAAGAGATACAAATATATTTATTAAAATGTTTAAGTTAACTGAAAAATCAAAACAAAACAGAACCTTCAGGCCTTGCCTAACCCTTTTTTCCCTTGGCCATGTTTCTGTTTTCAACAAATTCCTTGGCACCCGTGACTCCACTACAAGAACCCTGGGGGAGTCGTTACCACTTGTCCCCCAAAGTGAGTTCCAGCTGCACTCCTTGACAAGCTGCGCAGCACCAGAGCGAGACCGCGTCCAAGTTCCTGATGCCCATGTCAATGGTCATGTTACACGTTTCATGGCTTAACGCCTCCCATAAAATTACCTTTAATGGCTTTCAATTAACAAAGTGTATCTTGGCCACGGCGCGATACTGCCGGGCTGCCATCCATCCCCCTTCCGAAAATAAAAGGAAAATAAAAGAAAACTGGCAGCAAGTTCAAGTTCGGCCCGAATGCCACGAATTTACTGTTAAGGCAGACGGCCAGATCAGCCACGGCTCGTTGGGCATCGCTTTTGGCCACAGACTCAGCATCAGCCACAGCTTCAGGTTAAGCTAGAGCTTCAGCCTCAGCTAAGTGCTTTGGGCCACAGTTGGGTGTTGTTGTAGGACAAGCCAGCGACACGGCAAGTTAATGTCGCCGACGCGTATCTAAACATGTGTATCACCTGGGCCCATTTTCTGCATAAAGACAGACTCGCAGCTACAGCAGGCGGGGGAATATACGATATACGATATACTACAGTACGTACTATAGATATATGGGAGGCATTGTCAGGGCTTTCCTCGGCGGACCGAAAAAGATTTCTCACAATAACTCAAAACAATGGCATATGCTCATAAAATTCGTTTTAAGCTGTAAAATCATCATCAAACAAAATATGTAAGCACTGAGCGTTTATGCAGACTCGATCCCATCCCGGCCCCGTCCATATAGCATGCGATCACAGGCTATAAAAGATCTTCAATGCCTTTTTGCCATTGCGATCGTGTGGCTTCAGCCTCCCACCGAAATGGAAACAAAACGTGGCCCGCAAATTGAAACTGATCGAGAGTCGAAGTCGATCACCCAATGCGCTGCATTGGAGAAATGTGAGGGGGGAATAATAACTGAGAACTTAATCGGTTTTGGTAGGTATATATATCAAGGGGAACTCCGGCTTAAAGGGATTTTAATTAATGCTGGCAAGTAAATATATTTATAGCGGATCCAACACTGTCCTGGCATATCTGTCAATCCATAAGATCGATTTCCATTCGATTTGCCCAAGCAAAGGGCATTCACTATTCCTTACTTTTGGCCAAAACGGCTGCATGGACCAAACCCAAAGAGCCAGCTACGAACACATCTAGGCAGCGCACTCACACACTGCCAGCCTTTACACCATATGATCTACGAATAACGATATTGTACCCAGTCACGATTTCTGCCAAAACGTACCGTTGCCTTACCGTTCGCTCCCCGCTCCCCTGGCTGCGCTTCGCCTGTTGTGGGAGCGGACTGCGGACGGACGGAACTTGGCCCGAACCCAGAGAGGTAAATAAAAGAACTGGCAACAGAGGCAAACTGCCCATATGCGCCTATCGCAACTCTATCTAGAGCTGCAGCACCGAGTATCTGGGCATCCAAGTATCTGAGTATCTCGCGGGGCGGAGGCGATCCCCAGCGGACTTTGCGATGCGAAAGATGCGCGTCGTTATTGATGAAGATACGAGTACAAGGCGCAGATACCGTACACCAAATCCGCGACGGGGTGGAGAGGATATCGTGTTATATCAATAACCGAAAAAGGGTGGATCGCTGAAGCTTCAGCTTTGGCTCCAACTCCTGCGAGTGTGGGAAGTGCGGGCTGCGAAGCCCTAGAATCCTAGCCCTCTCTCTCTCTCTGTGGAGAGCCGCCTCTTGTACGGCTTCGGCTTAAATGGTTGAGAGCGGTTCTGTGGCCAACTTTGCGGTAGTTTCAATTACCGCCTCACCTAATTGGCGGCGGGTGGGCGAGGAAGTCGGCTCGCGTGTGCTACGCGCCATAAAGCGTTCAATACAGTTAGAAGGGGTTCCGAGAACTAAGCCCAACTTAGCCGGGCTAAGCTAAGCGCTTTATTAATTGAACTTCCTGAAAGTGAGCTGAAATTGCTCGTATCTATCTGCGCCGCACGAGATCCCCTTGCCGCTTGGCTGCGCAATTTAAAGCGTTAAATTAGCCGCTGCGCCAGAGTATCTGAATCTTTGGCACACACACTCTCCGCCGGCAGATGGCCCAATCAATTGCGGCGGCCCAACTATTCGGATTTCCCATTTTCCATTTTCCATTTGCCGTTTTCCATCTCCAAGCCGCGGTCAATGATCGCCTGGCCCAGAGGAAGCTCCAAGCTGCAGTCTGCCAGCTCCAAGTCAAAGTCAATAGCCACAGACCTCGCCTTGACTCTGGCTCATTTTCTAATTATTAATGCACACAGCGAGCAGCAGTCAGCGGGCAGAGGGAGGGCCGTCATTAAGGTGCAATAATTAAATGTTAAGCTTACACGGAGTCAGTGTAATTAGCGCGCCAAGACCGCGACTGCAACTGCCACTGCCACTGCCACTGCCACTGCCACTGCCACTGCCACAACTCCCGTCCAGAGGCTAGACAAAATATCTGGAGTACAACCGAAACATAATTACAGCCCCCGACAGACACGAAGCCGCAAGTAACCGGGCTCATTCAGCAAAATGCACTGATTATGAACGGGAACAGGTGCCTGCCTCTCCCCCGCGGAGTTTATTACCCAATATAGGTCAACTGTAAATCAAATGCCCATCTGGGAATCCAGAATCCGGAATCGGAGCAGTCAGCCTTAGCTGCCTCGCCAGCTAGCTTGACTCCTCATTTGCATCTTCCATATGTCACGTTGCAGGCAAGTACCGGAGAGAAGCCGAGAATGCAAAGAGAACGCCGCCTCAGATAAGCGATTTAGCTCCGATTTAACTGATGCTATGCGGAGTTATGCCGCGGCAGCCAGTCGAGCTACGAGTCCCGGCCCGACTCCGGTCATGCACTCCGCGCGATAAGCGGGGTTATGGCCAGAGACCATCGTCTCTCGGCCATGTTGCAACGCGCAAGTGCGGTCGCCGAAACGTGCCCCAAAGTAGAAGTAGAAGTAGAAGAAGTTGCAGCCAGCTCTTTGCTGGGCCTGATCGATTAGCCGAACTTGGTTGAAAACGAAAATTGCGCATGAAGTGGCAACAGCAGCGGCAGCTTCGGCCCAGAGCTCGCCGTGGCAGAGATCCCAGTCGAGCAGAGCTTAACATAATTAATTAAACCGTTACATTATAAAGCGGATCAAGTCGGTAGTTCACGATTTCCTTACTCCAGAGACTCTCTTTTATTTCGGGGGCCTTTTTCGAAATCGCATCGTGTCAGGATGAATTTTTTGCGCCTCATTTTAAGAGGGCCCCAGACCCAGTAGGAGTCTGGTGACTTGGAACTTGGAACTGGGGATCCAGAGCTGAGATCTGGGAGCTGCAAGCTTCAAGCTTCAAGCTCAGTCCGGGCTAGCTGCTTTATTGGCCCGAACATTTCTTCTAAGTACAACGATTTGTAGTACAAGCCAGCTTTTAATGATTACAATGTCTGTCTCTGGCCGGGATTTGCAGTTGTTTCTGCTGTTTGTTTTGTTTCCTCTGTCTCGCGCAATATCAGTACAATTAAGTTTTGTTTCGCTGATTCTCCTTTGGCCGCCTTTAATGAAGGGTTCAGCCGAGGGCTCATTAATGTTGACACAGCGCCAGGCCGAGTTTAGCAATGCCATCATCCTATCCCACAGAGGTATGATATTGTGACAGCGAATGGATATTTTTCAGGCTGTGCCGACATGGAAATTTGTCAAAATAAATATTGAGGCCATAAGTTATGCCGCTGCCGCACATGGGACCCCTTTTGGGGAGAGCTACCGAGTTGTAAATCAAGAGCCAACTGCACGGAAGTTATAAATGTTTATCAAAAGGCGATTTATTTGATAAATGTTATGGGGCAGCAATTGACTTGGCTGCCTCTGCCGACAAATGCAAATTTTAATACAAGCCCCGAATTTATTTCGCATTTTGCTAATTAATAAATAAGAAATCTGCTGGCTGCGAGCGTCGGCCACGCCCATTACCCCCAGAAAAAGCCCCAAACTGCAAGCTGCAGGCTGCAGCGTCATAAATTGCAATGCTCGGTGGGCGTTGTTAATTTTCTGCATTCGTATTTACTTTGTGGCTCTCTCTCGCCGGAATGGGGGAGTCGGGGTAGTCCCAGGGGCTCGTATCACAGACAGCAAATTGATTTATGTTTGGCTTTTGTTAAATGCCCAGAGTGGAATGAATTTCCACAGCGAAACACGAAATTCGGCCGAGCGCCATTTAACAGATTGTCAAGAGGTGCAAAGTGAAACGCAGAAATGTATCTCGTATTTAATACAAAATAAACCATTTAAAATGCTGCCTCCGCACAGAAAGGCAATAAGAAATTAAGCAAAATTTCAATGGTTATTACCCCTAAATTGTATATCTGTTTCTAGAATTTTGAATTTGTTTCAAAGTAATAATAAATGTATATATATTATAAATATTTTCTAGGGAAAGTTTATATTCACTTGTATCTGCTGCAGTTTCCCCTTAAAATTCTTATTCTTCTCCTTCAACTTATTTATTTGCCCACATGATAATGAAGTTAATTAAAAAGCCACACATGTGGAATACAATTCTGCACAAAGGAAGAAGACGGAGGAAGCGAGCCTCTCCCTCCGCCGAGATACAAAGATACAGAGATACAAGACCACGTTCATCTGCGACATCAAAAAATTCGGACATTTCCAGACCCAAAGTTCCTACTCTGAACTTCCCCTTGCCGAGGGATTGGGAGCCTGGGCTCCGGGATTTAGGGTTCTGAGACCTAATTGCCGAACGTGGGAATCTATTTAAATGAGTCCGATGTAAGCTCGTTCGCGGAAAATGTAGCAAATGGAACGAGGCGAGTTGGGGATTATTTGTGGTGCTCAACGTTGACAATCCAGAGCTGGCGGCTGCACTTCACACACATTATTTGTGGCAGCTAATGGGCTCGGCTGGCGCTTAACAATTAGTTGAGATGGCAATTTTTTACCACTCTTTATGGCTCCCCGCCACTGCGTGGAGCTCGGCCCGATTCGGCTGATGTTTGCCTTAATTAATTGCATGCCAGGTACTTAGTACTGGCGGTAATTTTTCGTAAAATTTATTTGTCATTGTCATGTGCGCGCAGCAGATAAATTATGCTAATTCCCGCCTTAACATGGGCGCTGAGATAGTTTTCTTGTCAGAATTTGAAATTCAATAGGTTCGAAGAACACCAGGTTATGTATTTTTAATATTTTCTGCACACAAACATGACGGCGCTGATTGATGGTGCAGCCAAGGCGGACGACGAGATACGAGGAATCTCGGCTTTTGGGGCCACTAATAGCCATGACAAATAGCCAAATTAATTGGAGATCCAAGTGGGGGAAGCTGCAGGAGGCAAGGGGTCTTGCCACATTAGAGCCATGCACTACTCATCATTAATATTATCAAGGCGCTTTTATCAGCGCACATTTTTCAGCCGACGAACCGTGACTTTTTCGAGTCGGCTAAAGGTTATGGTTGTCTTTCTTAAGGCCCACCGATTCCTCCCAATTTCACCGATCTCCGCCGCAACAGCTGTGCGCGAAATCAAACAAGTTGCCACCACAATGGGAGGATACTAGGGATCGGGATCGGGAACAGGAACAGGAACAGACAACACGCATAAGCTACAATTAATCTTGCAGCTACGAGTCTACGACGAGGGCTGGCGGGGTGTCTTGGCATAAATTTCACATATTCGCCCTGAAACCTGGAAACTGGACAGGCGGACCGAAGGGACGTCCAGACAGACGGACAAGTGAGCACAACACAGGCACAGCCAACAGCGGACAGAACTCGTTCTCTTCTAAGAGCCACGAAAGTATCTGCACCTTGAAGTGAATCAGCTGAAAGGACGCGACCAGGCACATTATGGACTCTCGGGTTCAGCGAAATATTCTTTTTTTTTTTTTCCTAAAAGATGGTACAAAAAAAAGAGGAACAACCGAAAGCCTGAAAACGCTGGCAATGATATGGGCTGTATGCGCTTTATTATGATTTTTCCTACGTTTTATTTCGCCTGCATTTGAGTGAAGCCCCGACCGAAGCCTAAGCCGAGACTGAAGCCGAAGCTCAAGCGCTGCCAAGAGATTGCATAGAACAAAATAGATTGCTATCGTGGCAACATCATCAGGCCAACAGGCAGAGCGCGAGATACTCGTACTCGTACTCGTACTCATGCCACACTCACATACTATGCACGAGAGTATGCCATTCCAGAGGGGCGGTGGGGAAACACCTTCAGAATGCAACGAGGCGGTCACAGAGCCGCATATCTCCTGATTGTTGCTGTTGTGGGTTGCGCATGCGTACAAAATGCTCGGTGATTAATAATAATAGCAGCGCCTACTAAGCCCCAGCAACACCCGCCACAGTGGGAGCCATCCGCGAGCGGAGTATCTGGCAATCTGGCCGAGTATCTGTATCTGTATCTGGGCCCACTGTGCCACTCACTTCTTCGCGCGCTCTTCGCTGCTCCAGTGCCAGAACATTTGAAGAGATACGAGCATGACAAGTTCAACTTCAGGCTGCACTAAATGCCAGAGCGCGCTATCTTCCCCGAATGCAGTTGCCCATCTCCAGATACCCCAGACTCCGGAACTCTCCTCCTCCCCCCAAGAGAGACAATACGAAGGTGGGCGCTTCATTTAGCAGCCCAGACGCCGCACAATTTGCATGTTTGCACAACAATTGTTTGGCTTAGGACAAAGCACGGCCCGTATTTTATTTAGATAATAATTTTTATCTGACGATAAGCGATGAGCAGCCAGAAGCGGCTGCGACTAAGGCAGTGCCAGTGCGTGCCCGGGTCGCTCGGGGGGCACAGCTCGCCGTATACATTTCAAGAGCTCTCGTGCTGACACTTGGAGTGTAACGGTATGCTGACCGGGAGAAATGATGCAGGGAAGCATCTGGGAAAGTGACTTGCTCAAGGGACTAGGAGATCATCGAAAAATCTAGACAGGGAACCCTAACTGGGCTTATTATTTTGGGAGTTAGTGGATAAATATTTTCTTTTAAATATTTCATCGATTTTAAATTAGGAAAAGAATTGGGAAAAGTTTAGCAGGACAAAATCTAAGTTTACTACAGATTACAGTCTAAACTTGTAAAAATTCCTTTGAAATAGATATACTGATTTTAAAAATGCTCAAAAATAAGCACTTAACTTTTGAAATACTATTTTTTATTTAGCTTCAATCATAAAACCAAATATTAACCAAAAACTTCAGTACGCTATAAAACCTCTTAGGGTCAAAGTGCAAGAGCTATCTTTTGGATCATAAATATTGTACTTTTTGCTCGTAAAAGAATCTCTACATGATTTGGAGCCCAATCACTGCCCATTCCCAGCTGCATCGCCTGGCTCCCGCCAAGATTTGCATGGCCCTGGGAAGCGAGATGAAGACACCCACACCTGGCCATCTCCACAGGTAAGTGCCAACTCATCATTCTGCCATAATTCACCGAACGAAACTGTCAAAAATCAGCGGCTGGCAGGCAGGCACGCTTTTGTGTCCGCTTTCTATTACGGAATCCGCGCGCTAACCATTTTCTGGCTGGTCATTCCCATCCCGAAGCCCATCCCGGAGCACTAGTGCGAGATATCAATTGACCCCCAGAGACCCCCGGTACTCACCTTCGCAGGTAAACTGGCCGTAGTGCTTGCCGGAGCTCTTGTCGCCGCAGACGACGCACTCGATGTTCTGCTTGCTGTCGATCTGTGATCCGCTGTTGCTGCTCTGCGAGTGCGAGCTGTTGGCCTGGGAGCTGGGCGTGGAGCTGCCGCAGCCGGTGGGCTGGCCCTTGATGCTGGTGAGCATCTCCTGGCCGCCGCCGCCGCCGTGTCCCTTGATCAGGGGCAGCATGTCCGAGTTGTGACCGGTGGGGATGCCCCCACTGGAGTGGTGTCCGCCGGCGGAGCCTCCGTTGGAGCTGGGCAGGCTGGAGAGATCCTCCTTTATACCGCCACCATGGTGGTTGTTCTGGTTGAGATTTGCCGAGAGGTCCTGCTTGATCACCGCCGACTGTTGGCTGGCCACGCTGCTGGGCGTGGTCTGGCCGCCACCGGCGGACACACTGCCTCCGGTGGTGGTGCCTCCGGTGGCCAGAGAGCCACCAGGACCCGCCGATGCAGCGTGCAGGTGACCGCCCAGCGAGGAGGAGTGCGGCTCGTGCCAGGCGCCGTGCGGCGGGACGCCCAGACCCATGGACCGCGAGAGTCCAAGGTCGAAGGCGGACAGCTCGGCGCCGGACTGGGGGCGCGGATTGAAGAAGCCGGGAGCCGTGGACGGGGAGGCGCACATGACGCCGCCACCGTACACGCTCAGCGAATTGTGCGTAATAATTTTGGCGGCCGGCTCGGAACACGTGTTATAATCGCTGGAATACACTTTCGCGCTGCACTCGGAGTCCTAGCTCGTCTCGTTAATATTTGTATATTTATTTTGTATTTTTAGTGCGTTTTGTGCTTTGCAATTATTTACTAAATAAATAATTTAATTTTTTAAGTTGAGCACATCTCTTAGCACGCCGCTGTAAGCAAACACTTGGCGTTTTTTTTTTTTCGATCAGATTCAGATTCAGATTAAGATTCAGATTCGATTTCCCGCTCGGCACTCGCGATGTGTGATGGAAAAGACTTGGAAAATTTTCAGGCACTGCACAAGTACAAGAAGTATCTGATAAATGCGCGCGTCATGCGGAGCAGCGAAATCTCAGCTGGTCTCGTACGGTTTTAGAGCCTGACTGGCAAAACATTCGTGGCAAAAGGTACACGACCCGACCCGACTCGACTCGACCGTTTCGACCTAACGACACATCACACAAATCTCTCTCATTCCACGAACACAGGCACACCACCACCGCGAGTACTCGTGCCGCGCCGCTCGAACTCACTGCGAATGAACGGTGGCTGGCGTTGAGTGGAAGTCGCCGCTCCTGCTCGCACCGGGGCAAGACCTTCGAGGCGTTTGGCTGATTTGCCACCACCACCACCACCACTACTCCTGCTGCTGCTGCGACGGCACACCACCACCAGCACCGAAACCACCACACCACCAAGGGGGCTCGGGCTCTCCCGCTCTCTGCTTCGTTGAGTGTAGTTCACTCAGAGCGGCGACTCGGTTCGACTCACTCGACTCACTCGTCCAACTAGAACCCGTTTTCCTTATTAGATCGCTGCCGGGCGCATCTGCCAGATACTGTTTACCGTTAAGGTTCTTTATCGCAACTTTTCGCTTTTCTTGTTATTTTTCTTTGCCAAGTTTCTGCGACTTTAAACTGAGTCTCCTCCCCGAAATATCAGTCTCTGGCTGTGTTTGCCTTGGCAGGAGTTCTTCGCTGGTTGGTTGGCGGCCTTAAAGTGCGTTCTAATTTGTATCTCGCGGGTATTTCACTGCTTAAAGACTGCTTCTTATCAGCTGGCCAAGAGTTTGGCCGCCATAATGGCCGTTCTTGGCCAAATGTTTGCTTTAAAGCCCCGTTTCCATTGGTGGCTGGCTAGCCCTGATAAGTTAAAAACACATAAGATACAGAGCTATGATGGATATCTAAATATCAAGCCAGGTGAAGCAAGTCAAGGATGCAGTCTGGGCAGTAATTAAACCGATTTTATGACCAGCTTTGATTGAGCTCTACTATTGATTTTGATGCCTTTTCTTGGCCATTAAAAGCGAGTCATAAATATTTAATAGATTAAGTTGGCCCACAAATTATGGCCAATAGTAAAATGTGTCACCTTTTCCGCGGAATTCCTAGCTTACCCAACGCTGACCCCAATATCATGTAACTTATTATTTACGCTCAATAGAGCCCGAGTTTACGACTGAAGCCCACTGACTGCCGTAATATAATTACAATATTTCCCAGCTAATTGGATCAGTCCCGGACTTTTACTTCACGTGTCTCGGGCGAGGCTCCGGCTCCGAGGGGCGAAAGTGCCAAAACATGAAGTCATAACCATAATTGAATTCCCTCCTAACGAGGACACCTCTCGGGCTGCTACGCGTTTTGTCCATTTGCCGGCCGTGTTGTTTCTTTGTCTTAATCGGAATTAGCATTTTCAAGAGGTACTATTTGCACGCAATCGCAGAAATCACGGGATGCCACGCAACGCTCGGCCGGCACTTCATTTTTCACCCGACCAGAGCGGGCGGAGGCGGAGTGGGTGGGAATATCGGAAAAGTGTCGCTGGCTGTAGAGTTGCAAAGTTGCAGGTCCAAAGGGCCAAATTGTGGGCACCGCTCTTTGCACTCGCCTCCTGCGGCGGGGCGGGGCGGGGTGGCGCCCTCTGGGAAGGCCAGAGCGAAGTGCAAACGTACAATTGGATGATGGACGATACGACGATATGCTGACTGGGGCAGTTTCACTCACAGCCCAATTGGACTCACTCTCGCGCCGAGTTTCGTTAAGTTTGCTCTCACTCGAGTTGGGCAACGCCTCTGTTGGTCGCTGTTGCTTTCTTGCTTGCACTGCGTAGCTCCATCTCTTTTGCGAGCATGTCCGCCTTATCATTAACTGTATCGGAATTTTGCTTGCCTTTTTTTCGAGTGTTTTTTTTTTTTTGGCCCCATAAAAGTTGGGTACAAAAAGCGTGTGTGTTTGCCTTTTATTAACACCGCTATATGTCTCTCTCTGGCAGCCTCCAACGGCGGAGCCTAATTCAATTGCGCGGCGGCGCCTCTTTCGTTTCTCTTTCGCTCTTCCTGATCCTCCCGCAGCACATCCTGGCTCCTGTGAACCTAATCTCGGGGGTTTTCGGGGTCTGCTCTTGTTAGTCCTCGTATGTGGCGGGGAACTCGTAACTCGCCCAGCCCCCCTTGGGGCCACCTCCTCCTGGCTGTCGACTCTGGCGGAGTTCGCGCAGTCAGCCGGCACCTCCAACCCCTGTGGGTTAAATACTGACAACCCCATTTGAGCGCCTTTTTGCACTCGCTGCCACAAAGAGGCCAAAAAGGGGGGGGCCGGTCGCCCCACTCATTCGCCCTTGTTGGCCATTTTTTTTCCCCAGCACTTCTGCCTCTGCTTTGGACAGTTCATTGAAAATGGGACAGAGGAGAGAGGGCGGAAAGGGGCTGAAAAGTGGGGGCAGAAGGATGGAGGAACATCTCTAAAAGCTTTATGCTGAACTACGGCTTAGTGGCATCTGATATCATCCATAAACTCACCATCACTATTTTTCTTTCTCCTCAAGGATTTGGTTAAAATTCAAGAAATTTTAAATTGAATTTGAAGTTAAAAGATATTATTAAAATCCATAAATTAAGTATTATATTCCACACTGTTTAGAAACAAAAACACATACATATCTATAGGTATATAAACATTTTCCAACCGTTATGTATTTGAAATGTCCTGGAAATATTTTAGAAAATATTAAAATAATTTATGTATTAATACAGCCTTAAGCCATTTGAAAGTTCTTTCAAAATTAAAACAACACATAAATTAAGATTAAATCGTATCCAAAGTTTAGTTTAATCCTTCAGCAGGACTAATACAAAAGTAATTCTTTGCCATATTTTATTTAGAAAAAACTAAATGTGTATAAATTTGTGTATATTTCACAGTTGGCTCTCAAAACAAAAACTGCCGTCACCAAGTTACTTTTTAGTTGTAGCCTGGCCAGCACATGCGGATGCACAGACGCACTCAAATGCATCCTGCAGCCAGTTCCAAGGACTCTTGCTTTCTCTCCAGCATGTGCATATTACACAGGGGTATACATATATTTTCGTTCCGGCATGTATCTGCTCCCGTTCCCGGAACAAAGGGAAAGCTTGCAGCTTGCAGCCGGCTCCCCTCTCCTTCCGAAATAGCAAATAGAAAACCAACTGGCATATAATTTACATTGTTGCTTGTTTCCTGCCCCCACCGACACCTCCCACCTCCGCTCTCGGCCAACTTTTACATTGATAAATTTTTAGTAATTCCTCTTCTCTCTGGGCTTTTTTGCCTTTTGTCTTCCGTCGCTGGCAAGGACTTTATGAATAAGTGCTAAAATGCCAGAGACCAGGACCGCAATGGACCGGGCCATGTCATGCTGGTTAAACTGACGAGCACGCGACCGCCCCTTTGCTCCTTTCCCTCGCTCTTTTCTACGCCAAGCCCCCTCCAGGTCCACCCCTTGGCCATCTGCAGCATCCTTTTTTTAGTTTGGTTTTTTTTGCGGAAAAAGTTCCCTCTGTTGGCTGTTGTTTTTAGCCCGATGATTCATTGTGAAAGTGGAGCTCCGTGGTCGTGGCTGGAAAATGCTTAAAATGTATTCCGTTGCCCGGAGTCGCGCACACAAATATCAAATGTTGCAGACTACAAAAAAAAAAGTAAAGAAAAACAAAAAGAAGTTTTCGCTGTTAACAACTTTGTTCACCCAATATGCTTGATGGAGATTCGTCATCGCTTAATGGGTGATGTTTGCCTCAAAAATTAACTGACGTGGTGTTTAAAGTACATTTTTTTCTTAGAAATCTACTAAAGCATTCATGGAAAAGATTTTAAACAAGCTTTAAATCATGTTTTTGTATATAATTTAAAGATTATTTTGATTTGTTAAGAATTGTCAATTTAACATGTTATATTTAAAATGCAAATTTGGCTTAAATTTGTGAGGAAACAAAGGTCACTATAAATGTCTTTGTTCAGAATTTACGAGAAAGTTTCTTGTTTCATTTAAATTAAAAAGTCAAAGCTTTAACTTGTAGCTGCACATTTTAAAACATTATTACGAGCGTCTCCATTTTGCGCTGTCAGTAAAGTTAAACTGATATCGATTTCAATTACTTTTCAAGCCACATGACTTTCTGTGAACCAATTAAAAATCTGTGCTATTATTGTGTCTTGCGCTTGTCCATTCGGAATTGCCTTTTGAGCCAAAGAATCCTTTCCCTGGAATTCCGGTGTCATGCGAGCCACAAAGCTAAGGGTTCGTTTGTCGCTTTGGCCACAGGGGGGAGGGAGAACGAGCAGGAAAAGGGGCCGAGCCAGGGCCCACTGTACATAAGAGCCATGTGTTTGTGCTCCACTCGAAATGTATTTCGAGAGCGCATGTCAAAGGTCAGCAGCCACTGCTCACATGTGTGTATGTAATTACATGCGAGCCTCCCCTTTTAATTTTTAGTATGAGCTAATACTACTACAACCACTAAGAGTTCAGTCCCTGTTTATGTGTCCGTCGGAGGCCGAGTCATGAATTAAACATTCGCCATAAAAGCCTTTAGTTGGGGGCTGGGCGAGCCCGAAGAACCATGTCACAAATCATTAGCACTTATTCAAATCGAAATCGGGCAAAGAAAAGGCAGCAGGCGGCACAAAGGCGGCCAACTGTATGCAAAAAGATTAATGCAAGATATTCAAATGGAATGTGTACATATTTTTGACCCCAGAAAGTTTGCCTAATTGCGTGAGACAGCCAAAGGTCAGAGGCGACGGCGCTAACAATGAGAGATCACTGGACCAGATGCCGGGATCCTTGCAGCCTCCCAGGTAGCAGCATGGTTCGAGTGTCCGTCCAGGCGCGGTCTTAACCTTTGCAGCGGTGACAAGTCGCTGCAACAACCCCCAGCAGATCCCACTGGACATTGTCCAGAGTCCCTTGAAATTTTCTGCTCGATTTTCGTAAATTCTTGGACAATTTTATGGCTGCGCCAAAAAGGGTTCCGCTTGTCCACCCCGATTACCTGGGTTTGTCCAAGAATCCGCAGAGTTTTTGGGGTTGATTTTGGGTCGATTTCGTACGCATTTCCATTTTAATTCCGTCTTCGGCGTCTTGCGTTTTTGCATACGGCCCAAGGCGTCCGGGGATCTGCAGACACGGCTGCAGCGTGGGAATCGGACACTGGTCAGCCATCTCGGGGACATTGGTCAGTTCAGCTGTGCGTCCTTCTCCAGGACTTCATCCAGCAGAACATTAATCCGATTTTAATGAAGCGCAACGCTTTGCGGTCGTGATCGCGTTTCCTAGGCAGAAAGAAAAACGCAATTTTGGCTTAGGTCAGTCGGGAACAAAGGCGAGAACATGGACCTTGGCCAAGCGGAGATTATTGTGAGTAAAAAGCTGAAGTAGGAAATAGTAATTTCCATTATTTATTGTTGCATTTGCATTTAAAAAAAGGTTTAAAAGAAATATTTTCCCTATATAATCCCCGTATTTTCTGTACAAAAGTTGTCAATAAATATGTTACATTTTTGTAATACTATTGTTTAACTTATATATAGTATAAAAATCCTCTATCTATGACGTTTAATATTTGCAATTAATAATAAACACACAATTTATAACCCTCCCAAAATTATTACGGAAGTGGTATTGAATTTCATTCAACCATCCTCCATTCAAATGGAGTTTTATGAACAAAGTAAGCCAACACTTTCTCGCAGCTCCATGCGGGTCCTCACGAGCTGTCGACTGCCAGAGACCCCATCAAAGTGATAATTGAGCAGTCAAGCTCAGATGAACCCATGCCAAAAAAGAGCTGGGGAAAAGGAGACTCTCCTCCGACTCCGGGCTGCAACAATGGCAACTCATTTCACCCAGGTTATGGCTTTGATGAATGATCTCATCAGCGAGGTGTCGACCGGAGCCACAATGCTGGGGCTGTGGAGCCAGCAGCTTCCAGAATGGCCCCCGATGAAATGAACATCATTTGCGGCCAAGTGTAAAATTTAAAATTTAATAATTAACAATTGTTTTTTAATTTCCCAGCGGCAAATCAGCCCGTCAGGCCATCGGCCATCGCTCTGCGATCTAAGCTGGCTGCCTAAATTACTTTCCCCCTCTGGAGCTGTCAATCTCGGGATGCCCGAGATCGCTTTGTTGGGCCCGTGATTAATGATGCGAAATTATGAACTCGCTTGTTCTGGCCCCGCCGGTTGTAAGTAGTTTTGTAAATCGGTTAAAGAAAAATGACTTCATTAAATTCATTAGCGCCCATGTGTGAAATTCGATCAATTGGTCTTCGACGGCTGGCTTCTTTGTGCCCTGAATGGGGGGCACGGGCACTCCGCCATGATAACTCCATTTAGAGAGGGCGAATCGAGCCCCCCTAATGACACCTTCTCCAGATCGCGTAACCGCTGATTCGGTTTTTCCGCGATGCCCAGAGCTATTTGCTTGGCCTGGGAAAATCAATAGCCCAACGAGCATAGCAATTGCCCAGATAATCGAGGCGAGCTGCAGTCAAATGTGCCACATAGATGGATGGATTTGCTGGCTTGGCTCATGTGTGTGCCGACTGCGACTCCGACTTCGACTCGGAGTCTGGGTCTGACTACGAGTCCATAAGTCATCGGCATTGATAGCCATCAATCGCGGACCGCTTTCCACGTTGCCACGACCACAAAGCTCTCCACCAAGTGGCGCGAAATCCATAGTGAGCACAATTAGTCGGGGGCTGAGACGGAATCCGAATCTTGCCTCTGGGACTGGGCTATGGAAATCCCTGGCCGGCTTCGTTACCGACTATTACTCCAACGCATTTTCCTAACTTGGCCATTTTTCTTGAAGGCGGCTGCCCCGGCAACCGCAGCCCCAGTCCCCACTCTCGAGTCTCCGAACCTCCACTTCCAAGCCCTGGACCTGCCTTGTGGTCAGTCACTTTGTCAGTCGTCAGTCGTCAGTCGACAGTCGTCAGTGGCCAGAGTTTCGTTCGCCCGCCGTTGGCTCGTTGAACCTTTTTAACCGTTGCTTGGTCAAGAGTTGTTAACCATATTAAAGTGTTCAATGATTAATTACACGCGTCCAAGATTAATTGAAATCAATCAAAGCTGAAGTTAACTAATGGCAACACGTTTGTAATCCCCCAGCGCAAGTCCGTTCTCATCTGCGGCCCTGTCTGTCTCTGTTTCTGGTATCTGGAATGTCGGTACTCTGGACTGGGACTCTTACTCTGACTCCTACTCCTCCTAGATCCATCTCCCGCTCTCCCCGAGCTGGCTGGGCTCCGTGGAAGACACTGTAATTTTATTGGCCACATTATTCGGTTTCGGTTTCGGTTTCCCATCTTCTACTGTTGCGCATCTTTTGTGGATTCCCATGCTTAATTACAATTAGAGAATTTTTGGGGCATACGCATTAGTTGATGGATGTGTAGTTTGGGAGGAGTTAAGGACCACGTGTTTCTTCGGAATATGAAAGACCTCCTTCGATCCCCTTAAAACATCAAAGTTGTTTTATTTAGCAAAAGTTTAGAGATAGTAATAGGTTGGATAAACATATGGGTTGTAGTATGTGAAGCGTCGTGGCAATCGATAAGTTATAACCTGACGCTTTACCCGCTTAGGTGTCTCCACCGCCTGGCCGACAGTTTTCCGCGGAGGCTGCTTAAGCCCTGGCTGTTGCATAGACCCCTTGGAGGCCGAGACCAGACTTATGGCTAGACAGGCCAGCAGGACTAACAAGATAGTGATTCGCATTGCAGTGCGGGATCTTTAAATTTCGATGAACTTTCGGTTTTAACTGATGCTGAGCTGGTTTTCTAGATTGGCTTTTATACTCTGTAGGAAAAGAAATTTCGAACTGCAGTGTATCGTATTGATTTAACACCGGACTAATGGGAATAATTATATTCAAAAGCAATTTTTGTAAATTTCTATGACCAAATGAGTTAACTGGAAAAATTACTAAATGTAAACAACAAAGGAAATTCCAGTTTTTTAATGAAGTCTAAAGACTTTGTACTGTAAATAAAGAAGAAAATATAATTTATATTAAATTTGTTGCTTATTTCTGTCTTTTCCCTATCTCAGTCCTTACTTCTTTGATTTGATAACCCTATTAAGGCCTCCTCTGCTAATTAAAAAAAGGATTTTCCCTTTTTAATTACCAGGTGACTCGGCTCGGAAGTTGTATCAATTGCCTGACAGCCGGCTAAGTTATGGATTATGCCCCCGGGGCAGAAGCAGACTTCCCCAGGATCGCTTACAGAGTTACACACGTGACACACACACACCAGGGAAGAGGGAGGAAGTAACTTTAACCGACTCGCCTTTTGTCGACGAGCGGAAGCAGTCAAAGGACATGCTAAACCGCTTCCCCCGACACACACATAAACCATGTAGTCACATACACACACATGTGGTTAATTATAATTACGCAATTTTAATATCAAAACATGCCAGCAAGTCGCCGAGGAGGAGAGGGGGAGGCATGTCCAGGTCCTGCTCGGATCCAAGGAGGGTTGCTCGCGCTGAAAAGGCGAAAAGTGATGAATGAAATGCGATGATTTCCAGCGACCGAGCAACCCCCGGCGGGCAGGTTGAGGTTGCCTTTGCACACCTCACACCCACCCACCCAGCCACCTCCTACCGCCCACTCCAGTGTCCTTCCTCCGGCACGCACACTTTGCGCTTTGATTGAGCATATCCGGTGGGATTAGAGCGGGGCTGCCCACCGTCTGCCGCGTCCAGCCAACCGAGAGTTATTAGCTTTTATGATATTGATAGAAGCCGATGTCTATTGACAATTAAACAATGACTCGGCCGAGGGGCGTTCTTGTTTTGGGGTAAGTCACCGAGCTGGGCGTTTTGTTTGCGCGAAGCCCTCGACCCCCGGAACTCCGGAACCCTCGAGTCCGTGATAACCATCTATCGGTGGATTTGTGCGCAAATTAATATGCAGCGGGGTCTGGGGCCGGCTTTCATGTTGATTAGAAGGGGATTAGGACATCATTGCGGCGGGCCAATAAAACTCTGCGGGGTCCTTAACGCATATGCTGCAAATTAGATTAGTTGCCCGCTAAATGCCAAATTGTTAAAGTGATTTATATCTACTTATATTCCAAGATGTTCCAAAAGATGGCAGCAATTTCATGCCAACTTCAGTGACATCATTCAAATATTTAGCTATTTACCTTTCCAGTAGCTGCAGCAGAACAAAGAGGCATCGCGACAGGCGGAGATTGGCCCGCGGGTCCAGCTAATAAAATCCAAATGATAATTATGACAATCGTACGTGATAATTGCTGCAAGCCCCAACGCGACTCCCACACAAGCCCCGACCATCCAGCGGAGGCGGAGGAGCAAAGTGCCCGAAAAGAAAGCAAACAGATCGTGACAGCTCAGGGAACATAAACAAAGCAGACCCTCCTCCGCCTCCTTGGACTTATAATTAGCATGGCTCAGGAGCGAGACCTGGCGAACGCACTAATAAATAAATGGAGATCTTCTGTTATTTATTTTTAAAATATTCCCCTCCCGGTCGCGCTCACGTCGTCGCTCTGGGTCACACACATTCCCACAGACGAGGTCAAGTTGCGAGATAATTTGGGACTCTGCAGATCCCCGACACTGGGGAAGATGCACACACATACTCTTAATCGTAAGTAGGTAAAGCTAAATCGATATTGAATTTAAAAATCTATAAGAATTCTTGATTAAATTTCTTAAATTCTAAAGTTTATAACCAAAACTGATTAGCTAACGATGTAAATTCAATAAACTTTTTGGTGTTCAATATTGTTTATTTATTTTAGCACAATTATATCGATATGATATTAATAATAATATTCTCGTCGATGTATCATAAAGGTGGTAGTAAAATCTTTCATGGTCATCAGTCTGCGGTTGTTGGTGGCAACAGATTAGCCGTGGTTTTAGCCGTAAAAGCCACCTCCGAAGAAAGGGGGACGTCCAAACCCTCCATAGCCTCCATAGTAGGGACGTGGGTAGAAGGGATATCCACCATATCCACCGTATCCACCATATCCACCATATCCACCGTATCCACCATATCCTCGGCGACCGAATCCGCCGTAATACTGACGCTTGGCGCGCACCTCGGACTCCACGGCCTGGCCGATGCCCTCCTCCACGGCGGACAGGTCGTTGGACTGGACGGGGGACTCCTCAAAGGCCAGCACCAGGCTGAAGGCCAGACAGGCAATCAAGCCAAATAGAATCGCGGAACGCATTTTCACTTTCAATAGAACTTCCAAGAGCAATGAAATTTCGGTGTTAACTGATACAGAGAGCCACTTGAGGTCGGCTTTTATACGCAACTTTGGACACAGATCGCGGCTAACATTTATCGTCTCGATATTAATGAGATTCAAGAACAATCTAAACAAAATGCGATGCCCAAATGGGAAACCTGTTCCCCCAAAGATGACTAAAGACAAACATCTGTCTAGAATCCCCACCGGCTTTTGTGGTTTTCTTTCTTTTTTGCATTTGGAACATTTGGAAATACTCCCAAATTCGATGACGAAATAAACAAATCAATAAACAGGTTCTGACTAAGATCTCGTGCCGGTCTGTTGGTCGCTAATGAATGCAAATTTATTTTCGGCAATATTTGTTGAAATATTTTACATGTTCTTTGAGGGGATTTCTTTCTTATTTTTGAAAGTAATAATTATAGATACTTTTGCTAAGAGGTTTATAATTCGAATGGCAAAAGGCATCTAGTATTAAATAGCACAATGAGATGCCAAAATCTGCGCTTTATTCTTACGTATCATCCCACAGACTAGTTTGCGCGCACTAGGGGAGGTGTGAAAAGATTGTCATTTAACTTTTTGTAAACAAAAGCTGTGGTTTTTTTGGGCAAAACCAAAGCGACGCGGAAGCTGGGAGGTGTGTTGTCGAATCATCTCGATGCTTAAGTGGGTAAACAACAACAAACCCAATTTTTATGGTTTATCGACTGGAAATACCCCAGTGTGGCCGTGGTCACACGATCGGTGATCGATGATCGGTGCTTAGCACAAGCATATGAAGTTACCAGATCTACAGCCTCCCTGATTTGCTTTGATCTGTTTCTGTTCGGAGCTGTTCTGTCTGATCTGTTGGAGGATGCAGTGCCATAAATCAGGGGGCCTGCCAGAGGGAAGCGACGATCGATCGGCGCGGTATCGGTATCATTGTCCGCCTCCCATCAGCCCCACTCGCAGTGCCAGTGCCAGACCCACTTCCATCTCTACACATGTGCTGCCCAGACATTGTCATCGCATTTGCTTTTCGATTCCCGATCTGCAGCGATCTGGGTTGTTGTCATGTGATTTAAGGGTTCCGTAAATCACGCTTCTTGTCTAATTTTGTCTCGCCCGAGATTCCCGGCATAGTTGCCAACTCAATGGAATTATTTCTTCATGTCAAGTGCCTCCATGGAGCAGTACGCCGAAAAAACATTTTGCACATGATCGCGCCACTTCGATCTGCTGCTCGGCAGCTGCACACTCGCAACTGTATCTGCAACTGCATCTCCATCGCCATCGCCATCTCCATTCGAATCCGAATCTGCATCTGACTGTGCTGCATCTGTATCTGAATCTGCCATTTCATGTTAACTCGCATCCACTGTCTGCTGGATGCAGTCCCCTGGCCGGGGATCCTCAATCGAGCGTAACATTTACAGACATCATTGAGTTGTCTCTGCCACTTGCGCCCAAGCTCTGCCACAGAGTCGAGTATCTGGAGTTGTCTGGGCGCAGTCGTAGACTTGTCAATTTGCATGCCACAACTAGTTTGGCCAAAGGCTTTGAGCAGGGTTGGGCAGAAGTACCATATCTCTATCAAAGTGGGGCCGGGGGCAAGCCTCTATTAAGCCATATAAGGGAGTACTGGCCCTGCCCCGAGACCTGTAATTAATTTACATATAATTACCGCTATCAGAAATCAACGTCAAATGACATAACGCTGTCGCCATTTACGACCCGCTGACGAGCTGTAAATTAGTGATTATTGCCTGTGCAGCGGGGACAATCTAGACCATATATATTGACCATATGTGTACACTGAAACCAAATTAAATCGGTTGATATAAGCTAGACAATCCTATTCGTATCTTCCTAATTGTTAAATTGATTTCTTAGTCATGGTAAGGATAAAAGGGTTCTGGCATATTTCTTATTAGATATACAACAAATAAATAATATTCATAAATCTTGAACTAACTGGATTACCTTGCATTTCCCACCGTGTAGCTGGCCAAATGGCAAGCGCCACCCGGCACGCCCTCGTCATGCGGGCGGTAATTGTGTGTGCAGGTAGCTGTCCACTTGGCTGACAGGTGGAATGGTCTTGGAAACAGAAACCATTTGGCGTGTCATCAAAACAATGGCCGTGGCAATCATCACGCAACGGAGAGTCGCCGCCCCACAACTTTGGTCTGCGGCTCTTTCTAATTTGGGAATGTCACCGATTTGACTGACGTCCAATATGATTTAACTAACTTTTATGACACCAATTATCGTGTTGGGCCTCTCGATTTGGACAGGTGATGTCACTGCTGGATTTAGTTCGAAAAGTATTCTCATCTCTACTTCCGCCGGACTTTGGCCTGCGGCTCATCGGAAAGGGAACAATGCGGAAATTTACATTTACTTTTCCCAAAAGATTTATGTATGAATATTCAAGGAACCGAAATTTGAAAAATTTTCACATTTCGATACGCAAATAAACATTTTCAATCGCCCCCTCCCCTTTCCATTGTCCAGCCGACTTTTATTCCGTTTTATTTCGGGTTTTTCTCTGCGATTACGGGGTAGATTTTCGCACTCGCATTCGGTCGCTCCAGTTCGCACAAAAGATCTGTCCCGATCGCGATCGTGACGTGGGTCTCGTCTCCCAGCAGCTGGATGTCTCCTCAGGGTTGCACTCTCCGGACATCTTCTCGGCTTTGTCTCGAGTGCGTTTTTCTGGGTCAAAATCTACCTAAGATTCCGTTCTTTTCTTCGGTGAGTTTAATGTGATTGCATGTGAATATATTTGATGATCGGTTTTGCTGTATGCAAAACATGTTTGCAAATTTTTTAAGTGTTATTTTTTTCCCTGCCGACCCGCTGGGGTGGTAAAAATTTGCTCTGTTTTTTATTGTTCTTTGTTCGCATGGTCATAATAAGGCGGAACGTGTTGTAAGGCTGTTGGTTCGGCAGAGAATTGATGGTCTAGGGAGCTGGGAGGAAGGTGACCTTAATTAGAGATGTTGACCTCTTTTTTGTGGAGGTTTCCTAAGAAAACTTCTGGAATGTTGAAAGGTTCTAGTGTGTGAATTACTATGCAGAGTACTGTAACTTCAATTGAGCAGTAAGTGAGCTTTATATTTGATTGACTCTTGTTTACAGTTGAATTCTACGAAACTTAGGCTTTAATGTGCTTTAAAAAATGAAGAAAACTGTGGTTTTATTTGGTATTTTAAATTTTAAACAGTAAATAAGCTTGTAAATTTCTTTTGCATATTTAAAATTAATTTAAAAGTAACCTTTGTTTAGGATCAAAGTCCTGCTTCAACGTGAACTATTTAATCTTTTCAACGTCTGAGAAAACTGTGTGGGCATTTTAATTTATTTTTAAGACTCTCACCCATTTATTATGTTTTCGATCTAGTTCTCCTTTCCCGCCAAAAAGCAGCATGTAACTGCATTTGGGTTACCAAAGGTAACACTCTTATTCAAATCCCAGACTTCACGCCTAATCAGCGAACTGGACAATGGACAAATGCAAATGCTGCGTACATTTTTCAAAACGAAATCAGAGCATTAACGCCGGAAAAAGTAGAGAAATTCCTTTGAAAAACCTCCCTCCAGTCCCCGTTCTCCCCTCTGCCTTCCGAGTCCCTACAGTCCGAGCCCCGGTGACGTTGATCTTTTGACCTTTACGCTTGAGCTGCTCAAATCGCCAGACATGCAAAATAATGCACATGAGACTGCATACGGAAAGTAGGGACACTTGGGCGACACTTTTAGGGGTGGCAACGGCTTGAAGGGCGCGAACCAAAGAATCCAAGTACAGTCCAGGATTATATTCTAGTTTCATTCTGAAGAAAGTTTCAAGATCTTTCATTTCTTCAGCTGCTGCAGTCGTAAATGTCATATTAATTACGTTTTTCCATCAAACGATCGTAAAACTTGAGATATCAAGTTTGGTAATTTGAAAAACCATTTGGAATCAATTGTTCCAATGCCATAGAAGCTATGGGCTATATAGCGAGCTCAGGTGCCAGGTCCCCACTTGAGCAATATCAGATTTACGAGCCCGAGGCATGAACCCTTTTAGGGCAATTCATTCGGCGAGGTGAAGACGAGCCTCTCTGCCTGGGGGTGGAATTGTCAGCGATGGACTCAAGTGGAGATCCAAGCGGGATCGCCTCCCTATCCCCTGTGTTGACAGACTACTTTGCGCGATGTGGGTGCAGTGCGGCCGCGGAGCACGCGCCAACTTCAAACTGCAGGCCGGGCCATAACTCCTCCGCTTGTCAGCCGTTTAGCTACTTAAACACTTAAGACCATGCCATGCGGGCTCCCTTCTCCGCCGACCGCCGACCGGCGACGACGACTGCTTCTCCAGATGATTTGGCCGCCTTAATTGCATTTCTCCGATTCCACGCATGCCACTCAGTCAACTACTTGGCGCTCCATTTCATTTTCCTTTTCATTTCATCTCCCTCCCTGTGTGTGATAATTTTGGTATTAGTAAATTTATTTGGTTTTTGGCAGAGATTTCGTCTCTGGGAAATTTATTAGCACATTAAGATAAAATGAAGTCGTTTGTGCCTCCACGCTCCACGCTCCACTCGATCTCGCGGCTCCCTCGTCTGGCATTACATTTTATTGCCTTTTTTGCCCGTCCAACTGCTCCAGCTCGGTTCGGCTCCTCCTCCTCCTCCTCCTGCTGGTTCTCTGGCTCGGTATTTGGGGAATTTTGTAGTTCTGGTATTTTGAATAATGTCAGGCATCTTTATGGTAGATTTATTCCGGCTAAGCTTCGCCCAGCCACTCGCTGTGGTGGGGCAGCAGGTGCTGGTCGGTTTTTGTGGGCCTTAAGTGCGATTAACAACAAGCGATGAGCGCGGTCGGAGCAGAGGGGGAGCTTGTAAACGCACATAAAACAGATAGATTACATCCCAATAACTGGGCCAATAATAAAGTGGGTGTTACCAATTTACTGATCTCACTTGTGCTCACATTTTATATCTATTCGGAGTCACACACTATTTGTATTATGAAAATGGTATCGAAATACTTTTTTAATTTATTTATAAATAATTTATCTATAAAGAAATGGTCACTTCACTAAAAGAATATATAAAAATATAAAACTCTTAAAATGTTTACAAGCAAGTTAAGACCTTTTACTGCTTTCCTAAAATCCCAAAATTCCACGATTTGTGTAAAAGACTTTACGTCCCCTCGTAAATATACATTCTGTTCTTTGTAGGAAATACCTTGAGTAATAAACTCTGCTCCGACTTATTCACCTTTATTTTTGAGCGAATTTCACTGCATCCTTGAAACATTACTCCACGCAAAGTTGTTATCAGTGCTGTACCAATCTATTCCCAAGCGAAGTATCAATTAAAGGGTTCCAGTCACAGCGCGCAGCTAACTGCATCAATTAGGACCTGCCAGCGTAGAGACCGCAAAGAACCAACTTTCGTCCTGCTGAAGTTGCCACCCCCCGAGTCCTGGCATTCCCATGGAAGGACAATGCGGCCAGTTCCGCTTAGGAAGTCCGACTTCCTGCAGGGGAACTGAAAACTGCACCTCATCGAGGGGGCGGAGTGGCTAAAGGGGGTGAACGTGAACTGCTTTTGCTCTAGGTGTCCTGGACACTGCCGAGTGTCCTGCCACTGATTGAGTGCATGACTGACCAGGCTGACTGACTGACTGTAGTGGAGTGACAATTAAGTGACACACAGCGGAAAATGCGCTGCATGCAACATCAAAGCGGCTGCAGTTGTCACGAGAATGAGTGGGGGGTGGAGTCGGGGCGGCGTGTGAAACGCTGACTGGGAGATTTCCATGCCAAACAGGAAGTTGATGTTGCCACAGGAAATGTGATTTGTAGTTTTCCCTCCGCCTTGCTCCTTTTCGTTTTGATTAAAACTTGTTTGTCCTGCGACAGGTGAGGCAGCCAAGCAGCCAGGCAGCCGCAGCTGACTTTTCCACATTGATTTCCGAGCAGCTTTTTAAAGTCCTTGTGCAGGCCAGACGCCATTTTGATGGCAGCCAGCCAAGTCAACGATCCTGCAGCGCGGCTCCCTTTTTATTTGACAACTCGTTCCGAGTGGCACAAAAGCCAGGCTGACATGGATACACATGAAAGTTGCGAGTCGCGAACGGATTTTTATTTCATTTCTCCCCCGCTCTCCTCATTTCCGTGTCCTCCTTTGCTTGCTTTTTTATCTTTTTCATTTTTTTTTTGGCGCATGTCCTTTGGCGGCTGCGGAGACTCAAAGGCGGAAGCAGCGGTCTCATGTGTCGCCGTGTGCCGTTGTTGCTAATGCACTGGGAAAAACATTTTTAAATAGGATAGCCCACTAATCCTGTTTTCAAACATCTAGATTACTTCATGAAAAATAAGGCTATACATAATAGTATTTGGATAAATATTCGAATATTAAAGTATTTATCACAAATTTATATCAAATTTATTCTAAATTGTTTTTTATAAATCATTTGAATATATTTTTTCTCTAACTGCTCCGATTTTGCTCTGGCTTTTTCTGGGTTTCCTTCGCTTGCTGTAATCAACATTTTCGCAATGATTCTGTCTGCTGGCTGCTGTCTGTTTGTTTATCAAAAGAGTCAACTGTGGCAACCTGGTGGCAGCCTTCCCCGCACGTCCTCTTCCCCACCCTCTACTGGTTGTGTTGAAATTTTCAATTTAATTTTCTCCGCTGCCATTTCCCTCTGTTTGCTTTGACTCCGCTCTTTTCTGGCTCACAGTCCTGCTTTCATTTCATTTCGTTTCGTTTCTCCTTTTTGTGATGCATGACAAGACGCATTTGACAGACGACGGCTGCACCTACACACACTCGCACACTACACACCGGCACACTCGCTCACCTCCTCCTGGCAGGATATTCGCATGTGACGCAACGAGGAAACGCACGCGCTGCTCATTTGTCTCGTGCTCTGCGAGGAGAAGAAATTGAAGTGTCAAAATTTTTGACACCTCCGATTGTGCCCCATGACAGATCGGGGCCGAGATGGAACGCATTAGCAGGCATATGGCAGGGATTAGCCCATTCCGACGCCCTTGGAGCCCAGTCAATGGCAGATCAATGTCGAAAATAAAAGAGTCTTTTCAATCTCATTAGCCAAAAGTCAACAACTATCAATGAGACTGGAATTCAAAAACAGAAGTTTAATCTTTAAAGTTTAGATTTGGTATTTACTTTCACAGATATAAACACATTTATTTCTTTAAATAAATCTTAATATTATTTAACTATATAAGAGGACTTCTTCAACATCAGCTTAATATTCTCTTTGGCTCGCATCTTCGATTCTCAAAGAACTTCTATATATTTAAGGGGTAGTCAAACCCTGATGCCGATATCCCAAGGACATCCCTAAACCGGGCAAGGGTTGGCCGCGGGTTTCGGGGCGAAGAAAAATTATGAATTTATGCAGATTTCGGGTGTGCGAGCGTTGTGTTGTGTAAGGGGCGACAAAGATTCATTCCGTGTCATCAGTCAACTTGATGGTGTAATTATATAGCATTACAAAAACACAATGAGAGGACCAACCCGGAGCAGCCACTGCCGCCGAACCAAGTTCAAGTGGCCCGTCCGCCGGAGCCGTAGAAAGTGTTAATAATAATGATGATGGCGATGCTGCCGATGTGGAAACTGGATGCTGGAAACAGGATATTTTCGGCCGAATAATTGACTGCAGTTACGCGCCTGTTACGGCCCAAACTCGCCGGCAGTTTATTAATTTAAATGTCAATGTTCCTGGGAGTTCAGTACCAGTACCAGAGAGTGCGCCAGTACATCCTTCCAACGATGTCAAAAGGTGAAATTTCAAACCCAAACAGTTTCTCATTCGGCTGTCGTTGGTTCCTTGGCCCTGTAGTTAATGAATATCCTCTGCGATTTATCTTCATTAAATTGGGAATAAAACAAGCCCGAAATGCAGATTCTTCCGGAAGTGCGCTACCTGTAAGTGCGTTTAGAAAGATCGTCGCAGTCGGTGAGTTCAAAGTTTAAATCGGAGCAGCCAGAAGTGACCACTAAATAGAGATCTTGCGAGAACTGGATCCAAGTCAACCCGAGATTGAGCTGCAGGTGTCAACAAACCAACTAAGGTGGCCTGGTCAAGTGGCGGTCATAAAAAGAGCGTTGGGCCAGCAGTTAAAGAGCCATAAAAAGCAGGAAAAAACTCATGTGTAGAGCTGAATTGGTCCCGAAGCATAATTCTGCCCAAATACCGTTTACACAAAATTATAAAAAAATGTTTAATGGTCCACACGAGTCAACGACAAAGTTCAGCTAAAGTGTTTATTTCTTTTGGGAGAAAAATACTTGAAAGCCGGATATCCCAATTTCTTTTTGGACATTTCGAAAGATACTTAAAGATCGTCCGGATATCATAAAAACATCTACTGAGACATCTTCCTTGACATTTGTTATACCAAGTATATTTAGCTTTTTTAAATTAAAACTTATTTTCGTTTGTTTTTCTTTTTAATTTATTTATTTTTTCCCCATTTTTTAGAGCATAAACCGTTCCGGTTTGAAAGCCATTTTCTTTTTTTTGGCAGCTGGCGATATTTACGGCGCCAAATTGAATTTTTGCAAAAGCTCAAGCGTTCAGCTAAAAGGCCACAAACTATTCAGCAATATCCTTTATTGAAAGGATTTTTTGCTCTATGCTGGACTCATTTTATTCGTTTGGTGCTGGCTACAAAATGGCTACCGAAGACAGGACTCAACACATGCGCCCTGGACATCAACTGTTGCCCTTTCGGGCTGACCCCTTTGGCGGAGGCCACACGAGAAGGAGTTGGACAGTCGCACAGTTGGACATGGGACATTGGCCATTTTGGACGAGATTCGCTGGGCCAATCCAGCCGTCAGCGGGATACGTGTCCTGTCGCTGCCTGGACACTCCCCTGGGTGCTGGAGTAACTGCCCAAACTGGTTGGGGCAGGACTCATTTGAATACAAAAATCATTAAAATTCGTCGTGAAAACGTCTTAAGTTTCCTGCCGGACTGGCCGGACTGTGAGAAGAAATGGGCAAAAGTTCGGTGGTGACCTCTGAACTCTGCCTATCCCGTTGCGCCGAGTCCTGCGCCCTGCGTCTTGTATCCTGTGTCCCGAAGGGGTAATGTCGGAATTACGTGCGTGACTGACCAATGCGCTGACCACTGTCCACTGTTCGTAAGTCCTCGACCGCATCCTTTTGAGGAAATCCCTACCCCGTTACTCGTTGTCCTTCAACCGTCCCGTCTTGGAAGTTGCCCGGCTGCTGTCGCTGTCTCCTTAATGATTAATAAAGTCTAATTTATGAAAGTAATCTGTTTGCTCCGCTCAGTCCTCCAGGTCCAGGACCAGGACCAGGACCAGGCCAGGTCCAGGTGTAATCCGAATCCATCCCGGGCGCCCAGACAATCGCTTTGCATGGCCATGGCGCAACTGCCAAGCCCGAACAATGCGCCCATCAATCAACGGATTTTTCGTGTTCAACAAGAGGTTTGCGTTTCAATCTTTCGCATAAGTAAATCCGCAAATGTTTGCGTAATTAGCCTAATGGACAATTTGCGTAGCAGCGAAAGTTGATTTGAATTTCGGCTCAGATTGGCGGGCTTTCAGAGAGGCGAGTGTGGGTTTAAAATGTGCCAAAGATGGTTTGATGAGCCATCACTTTATGGCTTAAAATTATTACGTAGCAGTATTAAGAATAAATCTATTATAATAACATTCACAACATTCTTAAATTGATATTTACTTTTCATTTAAAACTATTATTATTTTAAGCAGGCAATTATATTTAATTATAATTGCATTAAAACACCGCTTAGAATTCCAATTTGGGCTATGCCTCTGTGAAATTGTTGGTTCTGCTGCCATCTCCAGCCTGTCATTAAACAATTAAGTGACTTTAATTGCATCCATTCTCCTTTTACTGCCTCAGATCACTCAGTATTGTATTGGCACGTGCAGCGGACCAAAGATGAGAGTGCAAAAGTCAAGCCGAATGAGGAGCAGTCCGCAAACAGCATTCGGCTGTCCCAGATCTAGATAGTCCTGTGAAAGGCTAAACAAATATATAAATCACATCGGAGGTAAAGGGATCGGAGGCATAAAAAACGAGATCAACAAGATCAACCCCTTGATGCAAACATTGTGATCTTGGGCATTACGGAGAAGAAGGCCAAACAAAGCATCCGAACAAAGGCCCTGGAATCGGAGTGCCCTAATTTGTCGAGTTTCAGTTGCGAGTTGCAAGTTGAGACCCCGGGACAAATGGGTTAAACACCCGACGAACCGCACTCTCTAAATGGTCCACAATGGAAGGCCGACGGAGACTGCACGCGTAGGATCCTGCCTTGGTCCTGCCCCGGTTTGCCCGTGATCGGCTTAAGTGGCGCATTGAAAGGATTATGAGTTCGCGATCCCAGACTCCGAGTCTGTATCTATATCCGTTTGTTTGCTCGGCAGTAGCTTCTTTATTTGAGATGCCTTTGTCTGGCACTTGAATGCTCATTGAGTTTTACGCATCCGCCGATTAGCATGGGCAATCCGCTCCAGGAGCTCTGCAGATGAGTTGCTGAGAGGATCTGCTCGATCCGCAACAATTGTTTGGACTCATTCCCATTGTGCTTTAACACTTTGGCTGTGGGCGAGTGTGGGAATCGGGGGTTGTTTGAGGTGGGCGTGTGCTGACAAGTGACGACGATTTTCCCACATTAAGGGCGCTCGAAAAGCGGCTCAGCGGGATTCCCCTTTTCGCACTATGCCCGTGTATCTAGAGGCGTATCTGAGAGTGCCATTGAAAAGGCGTTCAGCCGAGCAATTTCGCATGTTATTTTCGCTAAATTGCGCTAATCGCTTAAACTTTTCAGCGAAGGTGGGTGCGACCGAATGCAGAATGCCTGAAAGCCGCATTGTTTGCGCCCTAAGTCTCATTTAATATGTTGTCATGGCGAAAAAGGTTTATGGCGCCTTTGAATTAGGCTTTTCTTGGCGAACTGCTCAAAGTTTCCACTTAATTTTGATTCCTTTCAGAGCTCACCCACACCCCCAGAAATGGACAGCTCAATGGCCACTCGAGGCTCTTTGTCACATCCTTCTATTCATGTCCGGGCGAAATTACATATTCATGTGCAGAGAGGCTCTGCTTCAGCTGGGTCTCGAGTGCTCGTTTGCATTATCCTTTCAGGGCTTTCAGCGAGAGGAATGTATGTATGCTAAAAGAATGCTGGCGACATCAAATCGTACCCTGCTTTGGGGCCCCACGAGTTAGAGGGGCCAATCAAAGGCTCGGAATAAATCCTTCTGGCCCTAAAATTGGAAATTTTAGGGTCTGACATGAATTGCGGAAGGAAGCAGTAGTTTCAATCGATTACATCGCTCTGGTCAGCGACACTTTTGTGGCCAAACAAAGCCGGCTGCATAAAGTGCCAAGAGTTATGGGCCAGAAACTCCAGAAAAGGCAGCGACAGCGGAGGGGATTTCAATGACTACGGCCAGCCGGCTAATGTCCTTTGAGTGACTCTCGGGGGATAAGATCTGGGAAATAGTCAAGCTGTGTGCGAGCGCCTCGGTAAACGGTACTTCGTATCTCACAGTTGCATCTTGTTATCTTGTCAAGTCCCTGCTGCGTGTGTAAACTCTCGGCCGACGACAATTTTGCCTCATTTGCGGTTGGCCAAGAGAGGAGAGGAGAGGGAAGAGGAGCATGTGAACCCATCCATCCATCCGGCCAACAAAAGGCGCCTTTGTTTGGATCCTAAGCAGCAGCGGCAGCGGCAGCCGTCGTCGTTGACTCAAGTATCTCGCAGTACGTGTGTATCTGCATCTCGGGCATATGCTGCCGCTGTAAATGCTCCTGTGAGTGGGCACCCTAATGCGATTCTAATGGCAGCCGCCGACCGCATGAGTATCCAGCCATTGTCCATCGCCAATGGGCAGCCTTTGTCTCATTCTCGGTCTCGGTCTGGGTCTTGGTCTTCCGTAGCGTGGGATCCGGAGCCGACCACCCGTTCCCCGATTAACACTTACTGGCGATTGCACAACAATTGCATTATCAGAAACTACTGGCGGTGCGTTAATCGCGATCGCGGTTCAACGTGAACCTAATTGAAATTGTTCACCCTAAAAATTGATGTCGCCAAAGATCAGGGAACGCGGTTGCTGTCGCAGGACAAAAGTTCAGTTTTTGCAGCCAGTTTAATCTTGCGCCTCTCTTTTCTGTCTATTAAAAGTCTTATGTAAACAACAATTCGCATCCTCCGCGGACTGATAAGAGCCACAGAGACGTACTATATGGGTACTGTACATAAGGTTATTTCCCTAGCATTGTAATGAAAAAGGTAAAAGAAAACTATTAAATCAATGTATAAATTTTGTCTTGCTAACCTGGCATACTACTTTATATTAACTAAAACTTTATAGTTTCTTAAACAAATATTGAATTATGTTTTTATTGACTTATTGACTTATATATTTGAGATTAATAAGGTCTGTGGACACGCCCTTATGTACATATGTGCTCCTCTGTAGTTATAGCTATTTATTTGTTCATTAAGCATGTGGGGCTGTTTTTTTTTTTATATTTTTCCTATGCTCTGTTTGTTTACATTTTCGGCTCGAAAATTGACGGCCTGCAAAACAAAACGAAAACAAAGACGGACACTCGACTGATAGATTAGCAGAATGGTTGAGTGGCAATCTCGGAGGCACTTTTTGACGATCGGACGCGCACAAGTCTCTGCTTAAAAGCGGGTCAGCTGACCCCGCCTCAGCCGTGCTCTCTCAAATGGCGCTTATCAGCGTCATTCGCCTCGTTCGGGGAACGAAGTGCTCCTTATCACCAACTGTCTGCAGCAGCACTGGGTCTCTGAGTGGAAACATCAAGAAGAAATCAGCCCACAGAACGAAACAGAAGTCGAAGATTCTTCCCCTAGATTCGATTTATATTTCTTGCTCAAAACAATTCCTTGGTACTGGGTATTGATGATTTTTTTATATATTCTGTTTGCTGATATGGGAAAAGCCATATTCCGGAGAAACCCCAAGTCCAATGTGGTTCTTTCATGTTTCCAAAGTAGCTAATTTGATAAATAATGAATAGAGCACTTTCCTGATCCTATATTATCTCATAGCAAAACTTTAATACATTTGTTTTTTTCATAAACTATTAAAATTTTTCTTATCTCTTTTATTTGTCATTGATCTGAGTATTTTTCCTTGTCTAATTTATTTATTTACATTGTATGGTTGTCATCATTCTAATCTAATATATAACGAAAAAGTAATAATCATTGTATAATTAAACATCTTTAATTATTTCCAGGACTACATTGTTAATAATGTCTTGTAGAAATTATAAACCAAATACATTTGTTAACGTCGACAATCAACATTGAAATTATGTCAGACTTACGCTATCCCAAAAGCTGTCTTAGCTGAAACTGAAACCTAACATTTAAAGATTATAATATTAATTAAAACATTTTAAGTGCCAATAAAGATATGTAAGCTGTGCTAAATTGACAGCTTCGACAGCATTGCAGGTTGTTTTGTTTGTTCAATTGCAAAGCTGTCCAATATCTGTTCTGAAATATAATCATTCTAATTGTTTAGGCATCAAAACTAGAATCAATTCCCAACTGAACCAGTTTGGTATACGAATGAAAGGTCCTGTCCTATTAATAGCCAGCATTTACTTGGTCAGTTTGTGTAAATTTCCAAACCAGATACAGTTACAGTTACGGATACATCATTAATTATTTGCCTAATCCATCAGCATCCGTCAACAGATTGGGCCTCTCACCTCGCCCAGTCTCACCTTTGCCTTCAACTTTCTCACACTCTGCCGGACCTGGATATTAATTAACCATGCCAAAACAGCGAAACTGACCATTAACGCCGAGGAGGAAGAGAAGCGGCGAAAACTATTATCTCTCTAATGGGCGAAAACACACGCGCTGTGTCCTGTAAGGGGATACTTTCCCGGCTCATCGGATTCCAGCACTGCCATCTCATGGCTTCCACTGACCGCTGTCCAGCTAGCAACCCCTTCCTTCGCCCAGCTTGAGACTTCTTGGGCCAGGAATCCTTTCTTTGCTCTTTGCTTAAGCCTTTGTTTTTCCCGGCATTGTCCTGGGCAGCGGGCACTTTGCATAATCAATAATCCTTGACGCTGGCCGGCCCGCCATTGTCGCGCTGACCAACACGTCTGAAAAGATAAATTATGGTTTGTAGTCAAATTGAAGGCAAACAATCCCGGACAAAGGACGGCCCAAGGAATGCAATGGGCTGGAATCGAGTGGGGTGGGGCGGTCATCCGATCGCCCTGAAGACAGCTGCCCCGAGCTAAAACCGGACAGTGTCGAAGAGTAAGGGGTTAAGGGCTTGCTCCTGCCGGACTGCGAAAGTTTGTTTTCCCATCTTGGGACATATGAATTAATTTGATTATTTTGTGGAGAGCGTTTGAGCGCTCAGTGGAGAACTAGGACTTTGTAAAATACATATATGTAATTTACTGATAGGACTTTGTATAAAGAACTTGTTGAAAAGCAAATAAATTTGTAAATAATAAAAGGAAACCTAGTACGGATATGCAAACTTTTCCTCTAAGAATATTGTTCATCCATCTAGCTAAGCAATCCCTTTTAAATATTTATTCAAGATTTTTTCATAAATATTAAATACAGTTTGCTTTAAGTAGATACCTAAGCAAACGTCTCCTCCGCATATAAGGTATTATTATCAGTCGTTCGGTAGCCCCAAATCCCCTGCTAGAGTAAACATAATTACACATTTATTTAAATTGCAGACGGAATACGTCTGATAGTTGGAAGAAAAGAAAGGACGCCAGTTGACCTTTTCCACTCGCGCCAATGGCCGAAAGTCCTAAGACAAACGGCCAGCTGTGCAAATGTCAAGACGTAAGTGTCAAAATGCTCATTAATAACGTCATCCTTAACGGGCGCCGGGAAGTGCAGGACGATGGCTGCGAAAACGGATGAAGGAGATCCTTTCTGGGCAAAAAGCAAACACACACGGACACGAGGAATCGATGAGAATGCAAAAACGAAAGTCCTATAACGGCTAAGCCGTCGTCAAAGCGATGGCTGGACAATGGACAAAGTTCGTCAAAGGATGTTTGCGCAAGTAAACATTGGGAACTATACGCCAGCAGCGAGGAGCAAGAAGCCAGGATGTGAGGTGTGCTCGCTGTCCCTGTCTCGTGTTAAATTGAAAAATTATGATAAACAGCACAATGGAATGGAGGAAGTTGCAAAACAACCGAGCCCACATCCCACCGGGAGAGCAGCGAGTGACATGCAAAAGGATATCAAGGATGTTAAGGGGTTGGGCACAAGACGAGCGACCAGCCTCGAGTGAGTGTAGCCAAAGTGTGCAACGGCCTATAAACGAAACCCATTCGCCACGGGATATCAGTTACGAAGTTCTCTTGGACCCTGGACCCTGGTTCGCCTTAACCCCTTCTCGCCCCCTGGCAGCATCTTCCTGGTGCGGTCCTGTTCCTTTGTGTCCTTTGTTTATCTACCCGGCAATAGTTCACATGAGCTTATCATCCGCAGTGCGAGTGTTTGCGAAAAGTTTGCCAATTGGCGGGGGGTGTGCGAAGGGGTTGACAGTAGCCATAACTTTGGTCTTCGGGATATTCCCGGCTTAGTCCTGTAATGCCCTTTGTCTTTATGGTCTGCCTCGGACGTTGGCAAGTGATTACGGGACCAGAAACGGGATTAGCAGAGCACATATCTTGGGAATCTTTATTCCTCAGGATTGTTGGGATACCCCACAGTGGTCTCCCGCATGTAGCCGCATTTTAGGCGCCACTCCTCCACTTCCACTTCCCGGATAATCGGCCGCGTGGTCATGGAGTCGATAATGCATACTGTCCCACCCTGCAGTTCCTCGCCCATCTGGTCCAGCTGGTTGATGCGGTCAAAGATGATGCCCACCACGCCGAAACGCCTCAGTTGGTTGCGCACCTCCGCACTGGTGGCGGTACCGCCCCAGGCCAGCACCTGCAGATCAAACGGGCGCATCAAGGACTTCAACGAGAGGTCCTCGAGCACAGTGTTGGTGTGCAGGCTCAGCCCGAAGAACTCCAGGGAGTTGCACACCTGCACGGCAGTCTTCAGTCGACTGACCCGCTCATCGGCGTACTGGACCGGTGTACCCGGGTCCGCGGAGAGCAGGACCACCGGATAGAGGTTCTGCTTGTAGCGCACCATCGCACAGATGTCCGCGTCAGAGCAGGAGAACATGATGCGCCTACGTCCGGCGTTCTCCAGAACAACTTTAAGGATTGTGTCCACGTACAAGTTGCGATCAAAGGTGGGTTTGAAGCTGCCCGCCTCCCAGCGCCTCGAGTTGTCCAGCTGTGGCCATTTGATTTCGATGTTGAAGCCCACGGACAAGGGCATAGCCTCGTTATCTAACTGAAACAGTTCTAGAAGCAGAGGAAAGGGCCGCTGATCATTAAGCATCTCGTCGCAGAATAACTCGCAACTTTTGCTTCCGGCGAAGCGCAGGACACGCACTTCCTTCAGCTGCTCATAGGTGAAGGCCTCCAGCGGCACAGCGACATGGTCCTTGCGCTTAGAGCCGCCCATGCAGAGCAGCATCAGCTTGTTGAGCTTCTCGTAGGAGAAGACCAGCAGGTCCTGGTTCTCCAGCAGCTCCTCGTAGCTGGGAGTGCGTTGCTGTAGAAAGCGGAGGACAAAGTCGTGGTATACCACCACCTGGGCGTCCTGGGTGAGTTGAACATCCAGTTCTACCATGTCAGCATTGGATAAGGCGGCTTGCTTGAACCCGTAAATCGTATTCTCGCGAAACAGGTCGACGCCGTTCCGGTAGGTCTTGCCCGATCCCCGGTGACCGATGTCCATGCACAAACGGCTCTTGCGCCAATAGCGTTCGTAGCTCTTGCTCATGTCGCACTGGAAGCCCTGCAGCGGACGGATGACCAGGTATTGCACGGTCAACTCCATCAGTGGCCTATGCGTGGAGGCGCAGGTTATCTTCACCTGGGCCGAGCCCTCGCTGCCCAGCAACTGGTTCGGCTGCAGGAACCCGTAGCCGTAGTGATACGGCGGCTCATCCGACGCAGCCTTGTGGGCGTAGGTGTATAGGTCCAGTCGGTAGAGCGTCTCCTCCGGGTAGGCCACTGTGCAGTGGAACAGCTGCAGGTCCTTTGGTCCACAGGGCACACCGAAAATGGGCTGGAACTCCAGGGGCTTGGTGGAGCGCAGATTGGCCACCTCAGTGTAGGCCATTCGAAGTTCAAGGCTTAAGTTCTGGAAATCATGGTTGGACAGGTAGTGGCTGAGGCGCGGCACTGATGTTTTTCTCACTGCTGCTTGAAGGGTGCCTTCTTTGCAGCCGATGTCCGCCTCGTACATCGGCGTCACATGGACATTGAGCAGCCGCGGCTTCTGGCGCTGCCATTGGAAGGGAGCGTTAAAGAACTTCAACTGCACTATGGACTCAGTGGACACCCAGCCGCGGTCCACGCGGTTGTGTTCGTCATTAACGTGTGGATGACCGAAGCAGTCGACGTCCTTGAGCAGGTTCTGACAAGTGCGGATGACCCGCGGCTTGAGCTGCGCTTCCCAGAAGCGTATGTAGCAGTCTTTGGCCACCGGGTCGTAGACCACGACGCAGTATCGATAGTGGATGTCAATGTTTCGCGGAATGGTCAATACAGCCTCGTATGTGTGGCACTTGCACATGCAGTTGGAGCACTCCTGCTTGGCCATGATGAACACGTCCTTGGGCGACCAGAAGCCCAACGATTCGCAGTTACCGGAGATGCCAATGTACTCATTGCCGCCGAGCTTGCGGTGGTAGACCACGGTGAAGGGCCACTCGGTGGTGGGCACCGGTGGCGGTGCCTCTGGCTGCTCAGCACACTCGCTCTCCTCATCGAGTCCATCATTCAGACTGGGATCGCACTCCTCCCGTTCGTTGGCAAAGAACCAGCGGTGCATGGTAACGGTTATACACTGATCGCAACGGAAATTTCGTTATGAGGTCTTCTGTAAAAATATATTTTGTTTTAAAAGACTTGAATGGATTTTAAATATGCCAGTATGACAGAAGGGTAGAACGTAAAAATTATGACTAAATTTATTTTTGTTACTACGAAATCCTTGAGTTCCCCACGTAATAGATTTCCAAGTTATGCATGTCCCATGTAAAAGCATATCATTAGCTAACCACAAAAAAACAAGGACTACGTCTGAGAGGAATTTTCGAAACTTTCCCACCAAAAGTCGCCTGAGCATCCTGTCATATTCCCCGCAGGAAGTGATCTTTTGATCCGGAAACTATAAAATTGGTACACCAAGCCCGTAGAAATCTCTGTGTCGCGGCCTAGGCACGCAAGCCTCGTTCGCTCGGAGAGAGGAAAAAACTCTGAAACGAGCCACCTGCGACAGGATCGGGGGGAGAAAACGAAGGATCGCGGCAGGGACATGCTTGGTACTCGAACAAGGGGGTTGTAGTCCTGCTCGAACAGGGAAATTAGGCGCAGTTTTAGTTAGAGGGGAAAAACATAATTAGTGTTGGCTTTAAAATTAAATTTTAATTGTAGCCCCTCCCAGAACTGCTCCTGGGGTAAACTGTGGGAATTTTAGAGGCCACTCCGCCGAGCCGATGCCAAATTTAGAACTGTCTTTCTGACAGTTGTCAATGAAACCATTTCGAGCACTTCCCAATCGGAGTGTCTCACCTTACCCCGAATCAGGGCGACACTTCGCTGGCTTCCGACTTTGGGGCGATCTCGGATTTCCCTGGTGCCTAATCCGGTTGTTTACCAAACAAATCAGCCGAAAAGGGGTGACAGCCGCAGCCGGGGATCGAAATTTATGCACGTCAACAGCGATTAAACAGCAAACGAGGCAATCAAACCCATAGAAGACACATGCCAGAAGACTCAACCCCAACCGCAGATGCTGCAGCTTGTTAAGATTTTCCGCTGTTGTGCTTCAGCGTCTGTCTCTAAGCAGAGAAACAAATGGAGTTTAATATTCTAACTTAATTAATTCTATTTCTAATTTAAATAAACTAAACGTACTTAGTACATCAACTGCAATCAAATAAAGTCAAAAGGAATTCAAAATCGATTTACTTAACGCTGTCCTCTCCCTCAATCCTATCTAACCCTACGACTGTCGCAAGCGAGCCCTTCCTTCCTGTCAATGCCCTTCGTCCCTGACACAGCACAAAATGCAGACACATGTCCGCTAGACCGCAGAACGAGTGCCAAAAGTGCTGTCCGCCGGCCAAGTCCATCGCAGGCCTGACCATGTCCTGTGTACAACTACAGCTGGCAGTGAAACCGAACCCGCGCCTGCGTAGGCCCTCGCAGGTAGAAGTCCTTCGGCTCCTTCCGTTTGACACACTGCTGCACTTGACCCTAATGCGGTCGAGATTTTCACGGTTGCAAGTGCAATTAAATGGCAAACAAAGCAAAGTATGGAAAACCGCAGCATGTGCCCAGGTAGAGGCGGGATCAACTGTCAACTGGCAGCCAGCCTAGGCATAGCTCGCTTGGAGCACTGCACTTCCTGCCGCGGGAAACTCAAGCCGAAATCCTAATTAAGCATAAAGAAAGACTAATTTTCCCGCTGTCCCTCTGTCGTCCCATTGTGGGAAAATCGAATTGGAAATCCGTGAGGCACTGTGTTCCCCGGTGGATAATCCACTCGCCTTTCTCGCGGTCTTCAAATTACGCTCATTGCAGTGAGGCCTGCGCACAGGCGTTGTGTACGGTGGGGGGATTACTGTAGAAAATGCAGTTTTCCGCTTTGTTCCCGTGTAGTTGAATATCCTTGGGAAAGGCCTCAGTGTTTTCCCCTGTGCGGTAAGTAAATAATATCTTGTACGATGTTTACGTGATTTTGGAGCAGACCGATTTCTTTGGTGGATATCCTGAGGCAAACACGGATGCAGGATGTCCTTACAGGATACGCACAGAAAAGTCAGGGATATCCCCTGGCCAAACAGGTGCGAAGCCGCGTCTTTCCCAGGATCAGACTGGGAAGTGCAAGCCCCAATCCCATCCCAATTGCTCGAGGGAGCTGGGGTAAAACCCCATGTCAATAAATCATCCCAGCACTTTCATGTCATCCATTCCGACTTCACTCAATGGAAATCAATAGCCGGAAAATGGTTTTCAAGGCGAGCGTAAAACCAATCCAACACCGAAAACACCAGAAATCACAAATTAGCTACACGACAACTACAGTGTGAGAACAAACCCCGAGGCAGCACAGCATTCAAATACCAAAAAAGTCATTGACACATGGAGTCGCCGTGCCCGTCGAAGTCTATGGCAACATCTGGACAAGTATTAAAAAAACAATAACAGACCCTAAAGTGACATCCACTGCGCCAGGATCTTTAGCGGCAACTCGCCCGTGGAAGATTACAATTTATGGCTGAGTCTGATTCTACAAATATTTAACCAGAAGTTGGGGCGGGGGCGCGACGTGCATTTCTCAAGCCCGCTGGAATTTGTTACGGAAAAAACGGCTTCGAAAAAATTGGAAAAATTCCGAATGATTTCCGTGAGAAGCGATACAGGATGTGGGCCCCTTGGAACGGGAGTTGGGCGGAGCTAGATGATTTTAATTGGACCTGGGGGGAAGTCTCGACAGCCATCTCGGTAAGGCAACGTAACAAATCCTTCTGCTATCGCTTCTCCGAGCTGGCGGCTGACTTATTTACGATTTTTACGAGACGGGATCTGAAATCCGAGGCTGGACTATCTCTTGGGCCTGTTCCAGTTCTAGTTCTCGCCCTGCGCGATAAGCCTTTATCGCGGCTAAGAGTTACACTGAAAATTGAGCAGTTCGAATGTTATTTACGAGCCGCCCTGCGGTCCAAGATAAGCCCGATGAGATTACATGGGATCAGGAGTGCCGCAACCAACTCAAATTTCACGTCCATCGAAGGCTATGCCACTTTATGACTCAATAATACTTTCAATATTTATATCAATTGTTATTAAATATTATTGGCGGCCAAGCAACCCTTACTACTGGACTCAACCCTTTCTGGCTCCCTCCTGGAAATCGGAAACCGCGCAGGGCAATCAAAGTCAGCTTCGAATGTGAGAATTATTGGGTTTCGGCAATTAAGTTCCAGGCAAATCGAGGGTGACTCGGGTATTGGGTATCGGGTTGGGTTCCGGTGCCGCAGAGCTTCTGTTTCTGTCGCAGATCGGACCGAGTGGTCACCTTCGATTGGGTGGAAGTAATTAGCCAGCCGGCTGAGCCTGGCAGAAATCGTATATCACAGGCGATCCCGGATGTGCCGAGTGACATTTGCATTTGCTTAGGGCCTCGAGGCGAAGCCCCAGATGTTTCCACATCGGAACCACTTTTATCTAGCCCTAGACTTCCGTTCGGAGGGCTCTGCGTGGGTTCCCACCAGATAGCAGCGAGGGCTCACCTGCGGATCTGGGAGCCTGGAGCGCGGAACCATCTCGAGGGCGACCCGACCCAGATGCAGTGCCAGTCATCACTATTATCGTGATAAATATTTGCCCGCAGATAAACCTAGTTTGCTCGCCGCTCCGAGAGCAGTTCTATTCATTAGTTTGGGCTTAGTTTCGGTCGCCGTGTTGACTTGATACTTGTTAATTGTTACTGCATTACGCATACTCGCACTTGGCTGAGTTGGTTCATTCATAAAATTAGATTCGGCGCTGCAATCGGAATGGCATCCCACGGATCTGGCCCGCCGCTCGTATCTCCCAGATACACGGGGAATGCCAACAAATGTTGCCGCTAAGTGTAAATAGGTTTTTGGGCAAATTCGGTTGTTTGCCCGCCGTTATCTGCGCCTTCCTCTCGTTGATAAAAAGTTCTCCGAAAATACGAGTTGGAATCAAGTAAGCGGGGCAGCTGGCTAAGTTCGAGACTGTTTCCCACAGAACCTACGGATGGATTTCTGGTAATATTGGCCCGTTCTGGATTTTTGGGCTAAGTTCAAAGGTCAGGCTCGAGAAATGAGTGCTTAAAATGGAACAGAAATTGGTTGTGAAACTCGTTTTTCCGTGTCCGAAATCGAGTTGATCGCCCTGACCCATGAGAAGTTTTCGTCCAGCCTGACCTCTGACCCGAAAGCACTCACCCCTGGTCAGAGCCTGCCAAACGGGATATGTCCAGTGGCCGGTCGGTCGGTCGATCAGCTCTGAACTCACCGAAACCAATCCCCGGGCTTTAAGCCGAGCCGAGTGTGTTCGCATCATTTGATTATGAATTAAGAGCCAATCTTCCGGAGGCTGCGATCAGAGTTCAATTGCTCAATTAGCGGATCGGAACTCCTGTGAATGGCCGGCGATCTGAATGGGTTTTCCACGCAACTATGTACAATGGCGCGACGGCCTGGGGAGAGCGCCGAGTGGAGCTGCCAGCGGAGCTGCTCTTAATCATGTTAATGGCATTAAGCAGCTTAATCGACGGCAAAGATCTAAGCCCGCGCGTCGATAATCAGCCATGGAGCGGAGACCACCCAGCCAGGCCTCCACTGCTACTCCTACTGCCACTCCGACTCCCAATCCAACGCCGACTCCAAGTCTAATTAAAAACAAAAGTCCGCCGCCTTGTAAATGTCAAGCGATTGCCACAGATCACGAACTTCTGCCTTCGCCGGCAAAAGGCAGTTGCAAAATCAAAATGCATTTAGCAGAAAGCAAAAAGCAGCCACAATTAGCCGGCAGTTCGAAGTCGGCAAATGACAAACAAATGAGCAGAGTGACGGGGCAGCGGCACAGCGGGAGGAGAGTGGGAATCATAATAAAATAATTGACGGGAACTGGGGAGCTGGACCCCTTGTATTGACATTTGGCACCGGAGGTTGACACGTTGGTCCGCCTGACATTTTAATACGCGGCGGCCGCTTGCGAAACCAGAGTTTCGGAGCTTCTGGGTTTCTCCTCATGTTTTTGTCAAGCGATTTCATAAAAGGGGTTAAGCAGTCTGCTGATCCCAGCGGTACAGGCTTGGACCCGGGCCAGGGCCTTGGGGCAGAGGTTCGGCTCTTGTAAATATTTGTGTAGAACTCAACCAAAATAGTTTTGGGCAAACCGTAA